ACAAAGCATTTAAAGACTGGAAACCTGATCTTAAGACTTTCCAATAATTGCTTTAATCTTGCTTCTTCCAAGTCTCCAGGAGCTTGCAGTCGCTTTGGGTGCTCAAGCTGAAGGGCCAGGACAGGAACAGGAGAGCACCCAACACCTACAAGGAGCATCAGGACCATTGTCCTCATCAACCTGATGCTCCCTCAGTGAAGCATTTGTGCCACCAGGCAGAGCCAACCCTGACTGTATGCCCAGAACAGGAAGACGACTGAGGGTTTGTTGCTTTTTTTTTTTACTATTTAAGTTGCTGAAGCCCTTATTGCTAAAATATTTTGAATTCTGCCTACAGTTTCCATCTCTTCCCAGCGCAAAGCAGCTGGTGCCTTTCATCACAAGCAGCTGCATTTCATGAGGCTGTGACTATTGCCAAGTGTTGGGGGGAGCCCTCAGACACATGGGCCCATCTACTCAGGCTTATTAACTCCTCCTGCAAACAAGGAGGCCTTTCTTTTTGAAGCCTGGCACTCCTGCACACCTAAACCACATCTCCAGCCCTCTGGTTTGATCTCCTGGCTTGTGCTGCTCTGACCAGGAGAGCTGGGCTACACAACCTTCCTCCAAGACCTCTCAGCTCAAGTTTTTCTTATTATTTCAAAGTCTAAATTGCAAAAAACCTAAGAAGCTGTTTCAGACCTACAAGTGCATTTAGCTCCTTTGCCTTCAAGGAAGGCAGTGGCAATACAGAGACAGCAGCTACACAGAGATATCTCAGGGAAAGCTCCCTTTGTCCGCTCAGGCCTCTTGGTGTCCCTGGGGACCCTCCAAAATCTAGTGATCACCCTTGGCCTTTACACCCAGGCTGCTTTAGACTTAGATTTCTGCCCACCTACAACACACACAGAGCAGCCTAAGAGTAGAATTGAATAAACAAAAATAAAAAGAAGAAAATAAACGGCCCAAGGCTACGACACACAAGCCTATCCCCTCACACAACCCAGCTCAGTGAGGCGGGGCTGCCCCCGCCCGCCTTTTATACCCGCGCGAGGGGGCGGGGCCTCCTGCCCTCACCCCTGCCCTTCTCCAACATGGCGGCCCCGGCAAGCTCTGCCCCGCGCATGCGCACCCGGGAGCCTTTAAAAATGCGAGGAGAGAGCGGGCCTTGAAACCTTTCGGCTGCGAGTGGGTTATTTTGCTGGTGTATTTGTTTCTCTCCGTAGGGTGGTGTGGGGCTGGAAGAAAGAGGGAAAGGAAAAAGGGGTGTGTGGTGTTAGGGTGGCAGGAGTGGAGCTGGGTGGGTGGTGTGTGAGGCAGGGAGGTCCTGGCCTGGCCTCTCCCTGCTAAGGCTATGGGGCAGCTTGGCTCCTACAAAGGCCAGGCCTGGCCTGATATTGGGGCCCTCCCCGTTAGTGGTGCTGAGGTGGGGCCTTCAAATCTCCCTCGGGTTCTGCTGCTGGGCTCCCCCTGAGCACCCCCTCAGCTTCCTCAGCCCTTCTTAGGGCTTTAACTGACCCCACAGTCAGGCAGCTCTGAGGTGCAGTGGGTGCCAGCCCCTTCCTATGCTGTGTCTGAGGTGGATGTTAAAGTAAAACGCCTGTTGTTATGTCCACTGTGACTTGGTGCTCCCAAATAATGGAGAAGTTTGGGTGTCCTGGCTTGTGCTAATTGTAGTAGCTGCATTATTGTTAAAAAAACTCTAAATGCCCCCATAAAGATAAGGGCTGTGTCTGAGGTGGATGTTAAGGTAAAAGGCCTGTTGTTATGTCCACCATGATTTGGTGCTCCCAAATCATGGAGAAGTTTGGGTGTCCTGGCTTATATTAATTGTAGTAGTTGCATTATTGTTAAAAAACTCTAAATGCCCCCATAAAGATAAGGAGGGTGTTCTGCAAGTTGAGGTTTTTCTCTTCAGGGCATGAGGGAGCCCTTTTTGTTAAGCTGTCTATGCAAGGTGTTCAGATTCTTGCTTGGGTCTGTGGGTTACTACATCCTTGCACTGCTGAGGGCCTTGAAACTTTTAAGGGGTAAAGTCTGTCTTTTCCTTGGGCTCTTCTCTTGCCAGAATGTGTTATGTGGTGTCCTGGGTGGCAGCAGCAACCCTGCAGGCAAGAGCACAGGAAAGCTCCTTAGTGGAAAAGCTCTGTAAGTGCAGATGGTAAACACTCAGAAAGGCTGGGTGTCGTTGGCTGCCTTTTGATGGGGAAGGATTTCTTCTTCTGCCCTACCTAAAAAAAGGGGATGATGCAACTTTACTCTGATACCATGTAACATCTACAGCTATAAGCTGTTTTATTAATCTATCTGGGTGATCTTACAGGTCTGCTAAGGCTAGAGAGCCTCAGCTAGGCTGATGTGAAATAGAGCCTGCCCTAACCTTCAGACTGGAGGTGATCTGCTTCCAACATTTCTTCGTCCTCCAAGCCCCAAGCATGGGCAACTATCAGCAGGAAAGCACCTATAGCAGAGAGCCCTGGTCTCACAGCAGTTGTCTGTCTGTCTGCAAGCACCATATGGCATGGCCTTTGCCTGCAGCCTTAGGACACCTGTGAAGTCAGGAGTTTTCATCACCATCAGCACAGTTCATCTGGTTGCTGTAGACACTGACATCATGTCATGTGCCTGGATGAGGTAATTGTCACGTGAGCAGGGGAAGGGTTTCTATAACTAATGGTAAACACAGTATAGGCTGGAGGTTTCTGTGTCACATTCCTGTTAAAAAAAAAAAACAAATCAGTGTGTTGGGGCACATTCTGGGAGTCACAGAAATACTAATTCATACAGCAAGGACTAGGTTGGATCATTAATCTCTTATCTTTTCTTTCCTACTTATAATAAAGGTCGTTGGTGAAGTCAGTTGCAAAATCGTTGATCACGTTACCAACTCTGTTAAAATTGGTGTTTTGGAAGGAGAGCAGGCAGATGGGAGCTGAGTCTCTGGGACCAGTGTCAGCCTTTCCTGGTGAGGAGGTGGCAAGTGATTTGTTTCCAGGTCAGTGTGATGTGCTGATATAACACTTGAGCTCAGTGAGAGGCAGGCGAGTGCACGGGGGGAGCACGGCACGCGTTGCCAAGCTGGGAGAAACAGCATTTCCCCCGGCGTGGGCAAGTTCAGGCCACTGCCAGAGCCACACCTTTGTTCACACTCATGTTTCAGTGCACTAAGCTGGGGAGGTGCCAAGGAAACTCCTTGATTAATCACTTTACAGTCTGTTTAGACACAAATAAAAAATGCTCAGCTCCCATGAAGGTGAAAAGAGGGACAAACTGATTTTTTGCTAAGATTAGACTCTTACATGAGAAGATTTCAATCCAAAATAAAACTGTTATCTTTAATTTCTACAGCGATTCCTTTCTCTCCCTCAATCCTTTACTTTTTTTCTCCTGCTGTAGGGAATGCCTCGTTTGGACCCTGTGGCATCACATGTTACTCCTGGTCACTCACAGAAGCAGCAGGGCCATGAGGCTGGGCTTGTGTGTGGGGAAGGAGGACACGGGCTGTAGACAAGGCTGAGGAATCCTTCGCTGTTGTGACAGTTTTGCTAATCTAAATGTGAAGCCAAAGCCAGAACTTGCACGCTTTTGTTCCAGCACATGTGACAGAGGATACAGCCCAGGCTAATTCCCACCAACCCCAGGAGAGAGGAAGCAACAGGGGCAGTCTGTCCATGTTCTGGAAATCTCGCAGGAGATTGCTCTTCTGGTGAGCCACAAGCCCTCTCCAGCTCAGCATCTTCCAGTCAGTATCTTTTTTTCTTTTTCTCAAGTGCCTTTGGCATCAGCAGCTTCAGGGTTCAAAATTCTTCCTGGTGCTACACAGGGTTTGTCCCTGCCAGGGATCTTCCAGCCATTGTGGGGCTTCTAGATCCGTGTTGGGCACTGCTATGAGTAAAGGTGGATTAGGAAATTTTGGGAGGTGACTCAGCACAGAGCTCGGGTGAGCTCAGCCCTCCCTGACCTCTGCCTTTGGCCCTGAATATGCTAAAAGCTTCCTCATCCAGGGTGACGCATGTCAAGTAGCCAGACACTGCTAAGGGGAATGAATTTTTATACATGGCTGAGTGAAAAATACGTTCAGGATGAGGCTTTTCCTTTTTTCTCAGTCGCAGGAGCTGATATTTCTGGACATTGAGTGGTCTGTGTGGGAAGCAATGCACCTGCAGCTCACAGCGAGTTAAATCCCACAAGGCACAGCAGGACCAGCTCATCCCCTGCACGTTTGATGCCTTTGTCGAGGGACACGCTAGTGCTTGAAGTCTGACAAACTGCACATCTCATTTAAAGCGTTGAGGTGATTCATTGTCCCACAGAAATTAATTCCTCAAAGTCTTTCTCTTGAAACGACTTGCACATCAGACACCCGGTGTGGGTTAGGAACCCCACTGGATTTTCAGAACACTGCAGCCCCGGGGTCACAGCTTTGTCATTGCAGAAGATCTGGGGAAAGAAACATTTTTGGCCTAGCCTCAGCTCAAGGCTAAAATATGCCACCTTGGGGAGCCAAGGTAACCTCCTGGCATCTGTCAGCCCCTTCCCTGCTGTGTCCTGACTGCGCTGCTGTGTTGGCTTCTGCTTTGTTTTAATGCCATAGGAGGAAAATCCTATTTTGGGCATTGCCCTGTATTGTCAGTCCAATGAATGCACATGGATTCCTTTGTCTCATTTGGCTACCTGAAGTGGGGCTTCAAAGTGGCCCACCCTGCCCAGTTCACATGAGGCCAAGCTTGGCTTTGTCCCCAGTGCTGGGATGGGAAAACGAGAGACAAATGAGTAGGGTCCCTCTGCCTGGGGCTGTTTCTGACCTGGTGATGGAGACACAACACATGCCAAAGAGCATGAGGGCATTTGGCCTGGTGAAACAACAGACCTAAAACTCAGGGCATCACACAGGGAAGCACGTGGTTTGTGTCCCAGCCTTGTGCAGGGCAGAGAGGGGCCAAGAATCAGCTTCTGCATTTCCACAGCAGGATTTCTCAATTGTTCTTTACGCCATCTGGGTCACTCCTTTCCAGATCCCCTGGATTTCTTCTACATTCCAAGCCCCGCTGTTGAGATCTTTACTTCTTGGTACTGCAAGATTGGGTAAGAAGCTAAAACAAATTGATTTACAAACTACCTCAATAATACAGAGATACGATTAAGCGTAAAACGTGGCCTGATCCGTGGGTTTGGTTTGCCTTTTGAGTAATACCCTTGTCCAGCTGTGTTTGGAAAGCAGTGCAATAACATGTCACATTTGTAGATCCCTGCCCATGCTGTTGACTTAGGGGAGGAGGGCTTGAACCAGCAGGAATGTTGTTGCTTTTGCGAGGCTGGCTCTATTTTTATTTATTTTTTGCCCTTGTCCTGGAGTTGGGCATCGAAGTTTTCCTGAATCATAGAATTGTCTGGGTTGGAAGGGACCTTTAAGATCATCGAGTCCAACCATCAACCTACCCCTGATAAAAACTATTACTAAATCATGTCTCTAAGCACTGTGTCAACCCATCTTTTAAATCTCTCCAGGGATGGTGCCTCCACCACTTCCCTGAGCAGCTTAATAACCCTTTCAGTTTAAAAATTGTTCCTAATATCCAATCTGAACCTCCCCTGGCGCAACTTGAGGCCGTTTCCTCTTGTCCCATCGCCTTTGCGTGGCTCACCAGTGGGTTTTAATTCCCTCTTGCACCTGATGAACAGCACAGAGCAGCTTCTGGAACTGACTCTTCTCAGTGAAGTTAATTCTTAGGGGTTCATTACACTGAAGAGTAGGTGGAAAATTATTTCCAGTGCATTTATTCTCTTGACTAGGTGTGGAACATATTTATTCCTCTCTTCCTGAGCCTTCAGTTTTTCCTTGCTCTTTGTCCTTTAAGGTTCAGCAGGGGGATCTGCAACGTTCATGCAAGGTGTGTGCAAGCAGCTTAGTGGCTTGGAGCCTGGGTGGTGACACAGACAGCTCCTGTGTGGAATTGCAGCTGGATTAACGCTGTGCTGATGGGGCTCAAGCAAGAGCTTGGGGTTTAACGGGGCCCACAACCCTGTAAGCACCAGCACGTCCAGCACAGCTGCTACGTGAGCCTCAGGGTTGCTTTGCAGCCCCCTTGCATAAATCAGAGCTGCATCCAGCCACAAAACTCGCCCAGCACTGCCTTAACAGCCAGCAAGAGAGAGAAAAGCATCTCCTAGATGGTTTTTGGAAGCCTTTTTACCTGAAGGCATGGGGTAGATTTCCATATATCTCCGAGAAATATGTCCAGGTTCTTACTGTTTGTCTTGGACAGCTGTTTCTGTTCTTGCCTGGCTTACAATATATTTTTTCCCTGTAGCAGTTTCCCAGTGTCTCTTAACTGCAAAGTTAAGAAGGCTTTGCATTTCTGGATGGATAATCAATAGATCACTGTGTTTGTCAGACTTTTTTTCCCCCCCTCTACTTCTTTACTGACCTCTCTATTGAAACCTCAGCCATTTAGGAGGCAGATGAAGCTGCGAGTTGTTACCTGGACTCTGTATTTTTACCCTTTTGTAAGCAAACCCCAAACCCTGCAATTGTGAAATCAGGAGAACAACGTGGCTTGTGATTTCTTTAATAATCCCACTCCCTGGGATGAGGTTTGGTAACCTGTTACAAGTGGGGCAAGGCAGCTTTGAGCACCATCTTGCAAGACTGTCACGTATCAAGGAATAATTGCTGATTCCTACCTCCCAAGAAGCTACAAACTTAGAGTGGGACCTCAGAGTGTCACTAAAGCAGTCCACCAGCTTTGGGGAGGCTCAGTTCTGAGGTGCTGCTGACCCCCACCCTGGTCGTGACATACAGCCCTCTACATGGCCTGGGGCTTTCACCCAGCAGCGAAGTGCACACCTTAGAAACCTATTGCAATGTAGTAATTTTATTTTAATGAGTGGCCTTAGGTATTAAGACATCACGTCATCCACTCCTGCCCACTGCTAATGCTTCACTGAACGTTTGGCTTTGAGACTTAGAGATATAAGACAGCCAGGATGTTGTCAGAAACAGCAGCAGGTCGGGAACAGCCACAATTGAATATTGGCTGGGTGTAGGGGAAAAAAAAAACTCTGAAGCTGTCCTGGGCAGCTGCTTTCTTGTGGCTTGAGTGCTTGGTGGTAGAAGAGGTGATGAAGATAAATGGAAATGAGAGAAAACCTTTCTCTATACTCTTTAGAGGCTGCAGTTTCTTGGTGTTCTACGAAGCCGGAGTGGTGACTGCTTTGCGGGACTTGTCACCTGACATACTGAGATCTGCATCCAGGGTCTATGGGGCATCTTCAGGATCAGTTGTAGCCACACTTGCATTGTGTGGGACTGATATAGGTAAGAGATCTGAGCTTCTATTTATTCTGTGTCTAAAGAGATTGAACGTCTGGAAAATTTGGAGCTGCAAAAGATAGGGGTTTTTTTACTATTAGTCTTAATCAGTGGTTAATTTCCCAGAATTTAATTTATTGTTGTCTTTAATAGTGGAATAATAGTGTAATAATGTGTGTAAATTAACAAGCAAAGAGAAAATAGACTAAATAGTTATTTAATAAGTCATTGCATCTTATTAATTTGGATGAATGGTAAGCATATCTAAGAAAATAAACAGGAGTGCCCTCACTAATATGAGGTTGTTGGTAGATTCCCAAAACAGAGAGGAAAGAAAATATTGAATATAGAGAGGATCAGTATTGCTCTTGCATGAAATAAAAAGAAAATTATAGTCACAGAGCTGAGAAATACATCAGGGGATATAGATACAGAGCCAACAGGAGGAAATACTACACAAAGGCTTCCTGTCAATTTTATCCCATATCTCCAAAAATGTTTAAGATGTCTTGTGGAGGAAATGGAGAGAAATGGGAAAAGAATACAAAATACTTCCACTTCCTGCAATATTGAAGATCCTTAGAAAATCTAGGTCCACTCATGAGATGTTCAGCCCTAATAAAAATAGTGGCTCTTTACAAGGTTGGTAAAATGCCCCTTTACCAGGTGGAAGCACAGCTGAGAAAGTCCATAAATATACGGGATGTCGCATAATTGCTTTGATTTGCTTTAGATTTGATCAAGCAGTCGTTCCTTGATGGTCTGATGAGCAATTTCTGGATACGTCTTCCTGGAGGAAAAGTCCTTAGAGTCTTAAGAGATTTCTTGAACAAACATCTGCCTCCAGACGCCCACCAGCTGGTCTCTGGGAAGCTGAACGTTATCGTCACCCGTGTGCGCGACTGGAGGAGCGTGGTGATTTCAGAGTTTGCCTCCAGGGAGGACCTCATTCAGGTGAGAGCAGGCACTGCCACCCTGTGAGAGGACAAGCTGCGTGACATCTACTGCCTACCCGTGCCCCACAGCATCCGTGGGGCAAATCTGGGTCCTGGCAGTATTCCATGCTGGGATTTCTGTCCTTGCCACCCTCTGAAGCCAGACAGGGCCACAAGCTGATAATAATAATAATAGAAAATCAGCCCTTTTTATTGCTGGCTGAATTATCTTTAAGATGAGAAAATGACCTCAAATTGCACCAGGGAAGGTTTAGGGTGGATGTTAGGAAATATTTTTACACTGGAAGAGTTATCAATCGTTGGAACAGGCTGCCCAGAGAAGTGGTGGAGGTGTGGAGGTATTTAAAAGCCAGGCAGTTGTGGTGCTTGTGGGTGTCTATTTTTTTGTGGGTGTCTATTTTTGTCAGTTGGGTTGACGGTTGGACAAGATGATCTTTGGGGTCCCTTCCAACCTAGAAGATTCTGTGATTCTGTGCTGAGGGACATGGGTTAGTGGTAGGTTTTGTCAGTGTTGGGTTGATGGTTGGACTTGATGATCTTAAAGATCCCTTCCATTGGAGACAATTCTATCATTCGATCTACAGGGCCTGAGTATGCAGGGAGCAAAATGAGGCATTTCACAAGTTATCTTCCTACTTCTCCAACCCTGGCTGTGGATATCAGTCATGGTCTAGCCCATGATAGTCGGTGATGCCCAACAATCCAGCCCTGGGTCCCCATTTTGGCATTTGTGGGCCACCATTCCCAAAGGCAACAGGTTTTTGTGGCTCTTTGCTCACCTCTGTGTTTTTCATCTCTCCCCTCCAGGCCATAACATGCAGCTGCTTTATCCCTCTGTATTTTGGGCTTTCACTTCCTAAGTACCGTGGAGTGGTGAGTAACCTCATGGGCTGGAGACTCCATCCCGGCTCAGGCCCAGGGCCCATCTAGCCCATGTGCTTTCTCTGGTGGTGGCATGAAGCATGTTTATACCCATGTTTGCCACCAAAATTGCTTGGTGATGTCACACAGTGTCTGCAGAGGGAAAAACTGAACCCAGGTGCTCCACAATTTGACCTTACTGCAGAACAGAACTGCTCCTCTCCCAAAAGCGTCCACCCTCAGCCTGTTCATGGGGTTAACTCAACTTCTTACTGCTGCATTTTCCCCAAATTTCATTAAAGAGTGTTTTTTCAGCTGGGGAGGAGGAGGTGGTGGGTGTGTAGACCTGGAGCACGGAGGACAGTAGTCAGGGCTGCTCCCTGGAGGGGAACCTCTGTAGCCCCAGTACCTCAGCTTAGTTTGGGACTGTGTGGGGAAGAAACCCCCCAAAAAAACTCATATTCTCTCTGAAAAGCAAATGTCAGGGTTCCTTGTTTTCTCTTCCAGCGTTACGTCGATGGGGAGCTCGGCATGTGGCGGGCTGATTTCGTGACCCGCACCACCATCACCGTGTCAGCTTTCGCTGGTGAATACGACATCTGTCCCAAAGACTGCCCAGCTGCCTTCTTCACCTTCCAGCTCTCGGACTGCATTCTGCAGATATCCAAAAGAAACATTTGCCGCATGCAGTATATTTTTCAGCTCCCCACACATCAAGTGAGCTCCTTCTAGAGGTACCCAGAGCCGTGAGGCTCCTCTAGTTGGCCCATCTGCCCTGACTGCCACCTCCCCCCTGCAGGTTCTGGACCAGACTTTTATCCATGGCTACCAGGACACAGTCTCCTTCTTTAAAAGACTGAGTAAGTGATTGGGAGTGAGGAGCAGGTAGGTTGGGTGTTTCTCTTACGCCACTGGTTTGCTGACAGAAGGTAAGAGATGGTGCCAGTGCCTGGAGAGTAATGGGGGCAGGGATATCCCTACATCCTTGATATTGCCAGAATTACTTGTGTCCCATCCTCTCTGTGGCCTCTCCTGAAGCTCCCTGGTCACCCCTTCCCCTCTGATGGTGTTAGGTCCCTTCTCCTCCACCTTGCTGGGCATCCTTATCAATGCCTACAAGTATCTCAAGGGAGGGGTGAAGGAGGAGGGAGCCAGACTCTTTTCAGTGGTTCCCAGTGAGAGGACGAGGGGCAACGGGCACAAGTTGGAACAGAAGAGGTTCCACTCAAATATGAGGAGAAACTTCTTCACGGTGAGGGTGGCAGAGCCCTGGAACAGGCTGCCCAGGGAGGGTGTGGAGTCCCCTTCCGTGGAGGTTGTCAAGACCCGCCTGGATGCTCCTGAGTAACATGCTCTAGCTCTAGGCAATCCTGCTTCAGCAGGGGAGTTGGACTAGATGATCTCTATGGTCCCTTCCAACTCTAAAATTCAGTGAAAAAATTCAGTGAAATCCTAGAGCTTTCCAGGGAACACAGGTCCCCAGAACCTAGAGAGGAGAAGTGTAGGCTTGGGTGTCCAGCGTGGTGTTGGACTGATTTCCCACTGATGCACAAAGCAGCAAAATTTGGTGATCCCTGACCCAAAACTCCACCTCAGATTAGCCATGCAGTGTGTTTCCCAGTGTCCCCATGTTTCCCACTCAACCCTGCTCAGGCCTCACATTGCTGGAAACCTGTGAGTGGGGCAAAAAGCAGTGAGAGCTGGATTCTCTTCTCACCAGGTGAATTTGGTATAAATTACCTTGATGAGGACTTTATGTTTTCATTGGCCAATGAATCATCACGTCAGAAAGGTGAAGAGACCCTGCACTGGAAGCCAGAAACGAGAGTGCTCCACTACAGAGCCACAGACCCTGAGGATGTCACCCAAGAGAAGCCAGGGACCATCCAGGCAGCAGATGAAGCAGAAGAGGAAGCCCCACGCCACCTTCTCCACCATCAGAAAGGTAGAGGACCAGCACCTTCCATCAGTTTTCATTAGCTCAGTGACACTTCCCCAGGGTTCTTGCTGCCAAAAGAGGACATCTGGGTTTTTGCAGGCTCCAGGTGGTGAGAACATCAGGAATGAGAGTCCCCTTTTGGGTCGGTGGTTGTTAGTGAAGCCTCATGCTGAGCTTGTTTTGAGTGAGGTTTGAGTACTTAGTTCATGGCCAGGTCAGAAGGGCTCTTTGGAGTAGGAGCTCTTTTATAAAGAAAAGCCTTGAAAGGTAATTAATCAGCTCATTAAGAATGAGGGAAGGAGCAGAGTCTCAGTGGTTAGAGCAGGGTTTGCTGTGCCAGTCAAATCAAAATTGCTACGAAGTTCCTCTGGTGTGCAGCCACGTGCAAATACCTCCGTGCAAAAAAAGCTTATTAGAGCTACAGGTAAACCTCTATCTGTATCATTTTTAAGCAATGTAAGGCAGATTTAAATCCAAACTAGTAGTTTTCTGCAGAAATAAAAATAATGTCCTTTCCCATTTCAGTTTGGACATGGAAATCTGGTGAACCTTCAGCATTTCGGACTCCACTTTGTCTTATTGTTACTAGCAGAATGCAAAGAAGTATGTGCTGGAGTGCAACATTTCTTTTAACATTATTATTTATTTTCTTTCTGAGTCTTTCAACATTTCAGAATTTGTCAGCTTAGGAAACATGATAATGGTTTAAAATGTTGCCACATCAATTAAAGAAGTAGTGAAAAAACGACCTGAATATTGTTCTGCTGGATCTACGAGAACCACACCAAATGAGGAATAGGAAGGGGAAAGAGCAGGGCCATTGCCATTCCAGATGTAAAAATAAAAGCTTGGAAAAGATAAAATAAAAGCCAGGGAGACGTTTCCATTGAAAACAAAACAACTCTATGGGGAGAGCCCCACTGTAGAAATGCAGGACACTGTGTTAGGCTGTGCAGTTTGTTTCTGTGCTTTTGCTTTTTTAAAGGCTTCATCACTCTGAACTATGTGGAGCTTTTGAGAGCAACATGGTAGGAACCAGGTTTCTTCGGAGCTTAGTCAGGCCCTGGGCTCTCAGGAGAGATTCCCAACTTTGCCTCTATCTATTGCCTCTGGCAAAGCCTCCTTTTGCCTTTAGCTCCACACTCGTGCAGAGGAGACAGCACCCAGTGTGTTTGCTTGAAAAGACGGGAGATTAATAAAGCAAAATTCAGCTAATTTCAATTAAGAGGCATTAAATATTTGTATCCTAGCACTTCTCTGCCAGTTTGGAGCAGGAGGGTTCTGTGCTGTGACCATTATTTTGGGTGTTCCTTGTAGGCTGTTTTTTTGTTACAGTTCTCAAAGTTTTACTAACATTTGATGACCAAGCACCATGCCATTAAGGGCAGGTGGGGAGTTCAAACCATGCTCCTGCCTGTGGCTGAGATCTGCAGACAAATATTAGGTGCCATTAAGGGCAGGTGGGGAGTTCCAACCATGCTCCTGTCTCCTGTGGCTGAGATCTGCAGACAAATATTAGTGGATTTGGGTGTCCAGTTCCTATGTGAGAGTTTTCTCTTGGGGGATTTTAATTCCCATTTGAATAAGGATAGTGTAGCTGCCTGAGGCTGACTGAAATATTTCTGTCCTGAGGTGGTGCTTGCTGTGAAGACCAGGAACCTGGTAGAAGAGCTATTGCAGAAGAGGGGCTGTGTGTCCTGGAGGGAAAGCAGAAGTGAGCAGGCAGTGTGCAGCTGCAGCCCAGAAGGCCAATCCCATCCTGGGCTGCATCAAAAGCTGCGTTGCCAGCAGGTCCAGAGAGGGGATTCTGCCACTTTACTCTGCTCTGGTGAGACCTCACCTGGAGTATTGTGTGCAGGTCTGGAGCCCTCAATATAAGAAGGACATGGACCTGATGGAGAGGGTCCAGAGGAGGGCCACAAGGATGATCAGGGGGATGGAGCACCTCTGCTACGAGGACAGGCTGAGGGAGCTGGGGTTGTTCAGCCTGGAGAAGAGGAGGCTCCGGGGAGACCTAATAGCAGCCTTCCAGTACCTGAAGGGGCCTACAGGAAGGCTGGGGAGAGCCTGTTTAGAAAGGCCTGCAGTGACAGGACGAGGGGCAATGGCTTCAAGCTGGAGGGGAACAGATTTAGACTGGAGATGAGGAGAGGGTTCTTCACTGTGAGGGTGGTGGAGCACTGGAACAGGTTGCCCAGGGAGGTGGTTGAGGCCCCTTCCCTGGAGATATTCAAGGAGAGGCCCGACAAGGCCCTGGGCAACCTGGTCTAGTTGGGGGTGTCCCTGCTGACTGCGGGGGGGTGGGACTAGATGGCCTTTGGAGGTCCCTTCCGGCCTGGGCAATTCTATGATTCTGTGATTCTAAGTGCAGCACAAGCAAAAGTAGATCACGGGGTGATGGTTCCCTCTCCTGCCCGGGGAGCAGTGGGTGTCTCTACCCCCTCCCCACTTCCATCGGTGGCAGGAACAGTCACGGTTCACGAGCTGGTTTTGAGCAGCCCAGCTTTGGCTGCAGGGGTCAAGAGATGTCAATCCATCCAGGATGGAAGGAGAGACAGGTTCTGATGGATCCAATGTAAAGAAGCATCCGGGTTTCTTTTAGTAAGCTCATTGCAGAGAAAATGTTCCCAGGTCATTGATTTCAACCAGAGAAAGCAGAGCATGTTATATTAATTTTCCACTGAGCATTCACAGTTAACTTTGCATCTGTTTACATCCACGCAGCCTTCAGCTATGCCTCACATTTCTCTAGGGCACTGGGGATGAAGCTTCCCTCTGTACCATTTCCCTTTTTGCAGTTAAACAAGCTGTTTATTCCAATAAACAGCTTGTGCTGTTGTGATCCATTTGTTGCCCGTGGGGAACCAACAACCGGGGGAGACTGTTGGGGTTCAGCCAACCCAGCAGCCTCTGATGTGCAAAATGTATTTGGGGTGGTGAGTGCCAGCTCATTCCATGGTCAGACCAGCAACACGAGCTGTGTTTGCCTGAACCATACACTGTTTATAGCAGTGAATTACAGCAAAGTGCGTGGAAAGAACTAATGTGTTTGTGAAATGTCAGCTCTCCCCGTGCAAGAGGGGAGGGTTGAAGGAGGAGGGAGCCAGACTCTTCTCTGTGGTTCCCAGTGAGAGGACGAGGGGCAACGGGCACAAGTTGGACCAGAAGAGGTTCCACTCAAATATGAGGAGAAACTTCTTCACGGTGAGGGTGCCAGAGCCCTGGAACAGGCTGCCCAGGGAGGGTGTGGAGTCCCCTTCCTTGGAGATTTTCAAGCCCCACCTGGATGCTCCTGAGTAACATGCTCTAGCTCTAGGCAATCCTGCTTCAGCAGGGGAGTTGGACTAGATGATCTCTATGGTCCCTTCCAACTCTAAAATTCAGTGAAATTCAGTGAAGAGGAGATGCAATCTGTGCAAGATTGTGGACTTTGAATTAAGGGAAGGTTAATCTTTAGGTTTCTCTGTCCTTCTCCACAGCTGCAAACTCAGAGGGATCCAAACGTGCACCTACCTCCACTGGCAGGAGAAGCAGGTCTCCGAGGGTGTGTGAAGCTCAAGAATAGGTAAAATAACTTCAAGAAACTGGATAAAAATGAGTTCCTGCCCAGTGGGATGCTCCCTAAGGCTTTTCCCTCTCTGATTTCTGTTTGATGAATCTCTGAAAGTTTTCGAGTGGGAGGAAAACACTTAAAATGTGACATTTCCTGGCAAATGCCTGCCCTGTGATCTGCATGAAAGCAGGGGAGGGATGCTGCTGGTGATCAGCAAGCAGAGTGGCTAGGGAAACCCGTGGCTGGGCAAGTAAAGATGCCCAGTCTCCCCTGTGCAGGCTGCGGTTCGGCCGTCATGGTAAAGCAGGTCAGGCCTGGGCAGGGAGACTGTGGCATCAGCAGAGCTGGGGACAAAAGCAACCTGTTTCCCCAGGGGGGGGAAAAGAAAACCCACCCCCAAAATATTCCATAAAACCCAACAGCCATGTCGCTGTGTGTGAAATGAGCCACGGTGTCACCCACCACTTCTGGGGCAGCAGGATGGTGTGGTGTCAGAGACCACCAGGGCCCATCCAGGATGGTTACCTAAGGGGACAAACTGGTGGTTAGTGGAGTCAGGGCCAGTGATCCAATGGGGACAAGTAGCCCCAGGGATGTTTGATACCAAAGGGCTTTTTTATGGCTGAGGAATTGTGGAGCTGCCTACGGTATGAAATCATTCCCTGCAAGTCTCTCTGCCAGCTGCACATGAAGTAACTTGCAAGCAGGTTTGGGGCTTAAAAGCTACCTGTGTGGAAAAAGTTAAATGCCCTGAATCCTTGAGAGTTTAGTGCCAAAACACCTCTCAGGATCTTGGTGGAAGTGCCTGACGTCCTGCTGGGACAGAGCCCAGCAGATAAATGCTCTGGAACAAGAATGTGTTGCTGTAGGGAAGCAGCTAATTCATAGCTTCTTTCAGATGTCACAAAATAAATAATACCACAGGCACAAAAATTAGCTAGTTTTAATGTGGGGGACCCCAGATTTGGGATTTTTAGCCATGTTCAGCAGCAGTGACCCATGGGGGAGGTTCCCAGGGGTGCTCTACGCCTTGTCCTCCCTCTGCTGAGGGTTTGCATCTCCCGACTCCTCACCTCCTGGCCACGGCTCTCGTAGGCAAACCAGGCACCATGGTTTGGAGGACCTTCTGACACCATTTTACCATGGAGCTGATACCTTCCAGCAGTCCCCACAGCTTCTTCAGCCTGAAACCAAAATAAGAAGGCAGATTTTAATCACCAGTAAATGCAGCGAAAGGGGGAGGATGTTAACAGTAAATGTAATACTCTTTTTTTTTTCTTTTTTTAGTAAACAGGCAGATTTTAATCACCAGTAAATGCAACGAAAGGGGGAGGGTGTTAACAGTAAATGTAATACTTTTTTTTTTTAATAACCAGGCGATCCTATGGTCTTCCCACTAGCCATGGCCACTCTCCCCAAGAGCTTGCCTTCAGGGAATACAGAATCACAGAATCTTCTAGGTTGGAAGGGACCTTAGAGATCATCTTGTCCAACCGTCAACCTGACTGACAAAAATAGACACCCACACAACAAACAAGGAGCATCATCACTAAACCAGACCTCCCAGCACTACATCAACCTGGCTTTTGAACACCTCCAGGGATGGGGCCTCAACCACCTCCCTGGGCAGCCCAGTCCAATGGCTGAGAACCCTTTCAGTGAAAAAATGTTTCCTAATATCCAGCCTGAACCTCCCCTGGCGCAACTTGAGGCCATTTCCTCTTGTCCTGTCGCCTGTGACTTGAGAAAAGAGACCGACCCCCACCTCTCTACACCCTCCTTTCAGGGAGTTGTAGAGAACAATAAGGTCTCCCCTCAGCCTCCTCTTCTCCAGGCTGAACACCCCCAGCTCCCTCAGCCTCTCCTCATCAGACTTATTCTCCAGACCCCTCACCATCTTTGTTGCCCTTCTCTGGACCCGCTCCAGCACCTCGATGTCTTTTTTTATGGTAGGGGGCCCAAAACTGGACACAGTACTCGAGGTGAGGCCTCACCAGTGCCGAGTACAGGGACTGAATCCTTCCACAGAGGAAGGGGATATTTCTGCAGTAGATGTGCATCAGTTCACCCTGGTCCATAGAAAAGGAGCGACTTGTTGCCAGCCCCGTGTGTTCCCCCTGGATCTGCCATCTGAAGGATGCCACAGCCCATTGCCCACCCCACTGCTGGGCTTGTGGAGATGCCTGGGGACCTCTGGCTGATATTGCACCACGTCCCTTCAGCTGATTTTGCTGCTGCTGGAGGTGCAGCCACTGGTTTCTGCGTCGCTCTCAGCTTCGATGCCTCTTTCGGGATGTTCTTACCCCTTCCTGGCGTAAGCTGGCAGGCGGTATGGCTGCAGCAGGAGCTTTGACAGTGGATCCTGGAGTCCTGTCACCTGTTCCTTCTTCCACAGAGCCAAGCCTGTGCCCGTGAATGATAACAGAGAAGTAAATCAATACCAATAATTAGAAATCACCCAATAAATGCAGTTGTCCAGCAGCTCAGACTGTAGATACTGAAGCCCAGGCCAGGATCCAGCTTGAGTTGCTCTTTCAAAGCCTCTTTGCAAACAGCTACTGCAGATACACAAATACTTACAACAATAAATACTGTCTTAAATATAATACTTCTCCTCTCAAAGATTGCAGCGGCCCTTAGTGGCCCCCTCCACCCCCAAAAACCCCAGACCAGTCCCCCAGATCTTCTACCTGGCAGGAAGCAGGGGGCCAGACGCTGGGGAACCCTTTTGCAGAGGCCGGTGAAGGTCCCTTTGGATTGTGTGGAGTCGTTCTTCCCACACATGGTGGCGAAGCGGAAATTGCCATCGAAGTAGTTAAAGCCAAAGGCATCTGTGAGACACAAAAAGGCTGATTTTTAGCCAGTTTTATTGGCCACGCGGTGCCAGTGGGCAGTGGGTCACACCCCCCAAAGGGTATTGGGGTGACACTTACTATTCCTGTAGAGGAAAAGGGCCGTGTCCTGGTACCCTTGGGAGAAAATATCATTCAAGACCTGCAAGGAGAAACACTTGAGGTCACTAAAGAGCCTTCCGGTGCCAGTGGGCAGTGGGTCACACTTCCAGGCTGCCCTTTGGGTCTTGGGGTGACACTTACTGTTCCTGTACAGGAAAAGGGCTGTGTCCTGGTACCCTTGGGAGAAAATATCATTCAAGACCTGCAAGGAGAAACACTTGAGGTCACTAAAGAGCCCTCCATCCAGGCACCATCAGGCTCTATTGAAGGCTGCTTGACTGGGGGGAGTTTGGGATGGCCTGTTTGGGAGGGCAGCAAGCCCAGGCTGGTTTCCACCCACCAAAGCACTGGTCCTTTGCAGGTTGTCAAACCAAGACCCCATCCCAGGTTGGCCACCCATCAGCAGTGTCCACCAAAAAAATGTGCTACCCTTGAAATCTGAGTAATTAACTATAGAGATTAAGCTGAACCTCAAAACGTTTGTTTTAACTGAAGCAAAGCTGAGAAGAAGACCCGGTGGCCTACCATGGTGCTAGGGGGAAAGAGAGCATAGCTGATCCTGCAGAGGTTCTCGATGGAGATCTGGATGCTGCCGTTGAAGATCTGGAAGCAGAAGAAGATAGCGGGACAGTCCCGCGGGCAGATATCAAGCTCTCCTGTGAATGGGGACACGGTGATCACGGCTTCCTCCAGGCTGGAAACGGGCTGCAGCCCAGTGAATCCTCCGTCCACGTATCGCTGAGGGGGGAGAGCAAGGGAGAGGGTTTGCTCTGAGGGTTGCCACAGCCTGGATGAGGGCAGCGTCACCGAGCAGGGAGCAAGAAGCTGCATAGGTGACCTCTCCTGCCACGAGCCAGTCCCAGCACGTCCTCCCTTCCTACTTGCAACAGCATCTCTTCCCACCCCTTGCTCTTTATCCTGGCTTTTTCCAGCTCCTTCTGCTGCCCTACCTGCTCCTCAACCAGGGGCTGTAATCCACAGCCGTTATTAAAATAGAAATATAATTATTTTCATTCACCGAGCTTTGTGAAGTCGTTTTGGCAGTCATTAGCCAATCCAAACATCACGGAATTGACAGTGTTGTATAAATTTCAAGGCCTGAGCCAAGCAGTTGGGCTCCCGCATTTAATAATCGCCTGCAAATCCCCGGGGGATTACTCACTGGGCAAGGAAAATGTCATTTATCGTATTCCAGAAGGAATCTGAAATTTGCCACCCACCAGGGTGGAATTTGATGTTGCAAGGACTGCAGCTGATTGAATTAAATGCTCGTGAAATAATAACAGTGCAGGGGAGCCTCGTGGAGCAAAGCCACCAGGCTCTAGGTCCTGGGGCAAGCTGGAGACCTGACCTGGTAGCCAAGTAGGAACATTTGAGCACTCAATCAGTGCAGACCAAGAAGAGTCAAGGAAAGATCCTGGCTTTATCCCAGCTGCAAATAAATCTGGTGTCACAGCCGTGTTGGCTTTAACACCCCATGGGTGACGGTGCATTGGGCACTCCATGGTCCATCTGCAGGTGCTTCACCACCACCTCAGTGCTCCTCCTTCACCAAGGGTTACCAACAAAGCCAGCCCCAATGGGTTCGCTGGATGATCAGAGGGATGGAGCACCTCTCCTATGAAGACAGGCTGAGAGAGCTGGGGTTGTTCAGCCTGGAGAAGAGAAGGCTCCGGGGAGACCTTATAACGGCCTTTCAGTACCTGAAAGGAGCCTACAGAAGAGCTGGAGAGGGACCCTTTACAAAGACGAGTAGCAACAGGACAAGGGGCAATGGTTTTAAGCTGGTGGAGGGGAGATTTAGGTTAGATACTAGGAAGAAATTCTTTACAGTGAGGGTGGTGAGGCACTGGAACAGGTTGCCCAGGGAGGTCGTGGATGCCCCATCACTGGAGGTGTTCAAGGCCAGGCTGGATGGCTATTTGAGCAACCTGGTCTGGTGGGAGGTGTCCCTGCCCATGGCAGGGGGGTTGGAACTCAATGATCTTTGAGGTCCCTTCCAACCCAAACCATTCTATGATTCTATGATTCTATGATTCTATTCTATGAATATGCACGTGGCTGGGGGAGGATCCTCCCACCAACTTTCGGTATTTCAGCCGTGCAAGTCTGCACCTGAGCTGAGATGGAGACATCTGCACGACAGACAGATCCTGCCCAGGATTGGGGCTGGATCTGGGTTGGGTGGCAAAGTCCCCAAGCGTGGGTGTCCTCTCATCTCCCTTTGGAGATCTGCAAGGCAAGATCTAGTCATCTGGGCCCCGTCCACAGGCAACGCAGGAGAAGGCTCTCCAGATGGCACTTCCACCTGGCTACGGTCTTAGGAGGGGATGAAGAACAAGCTGAAAGGCTTTATCATCCTCCATTAACTAAAGAAGCCCAGACATGTATATCCCTCCCTGCTCAAGGCCATGTAAAGCTTAAACCCAAGAACGTACCGCCGGGAGCATGTGTTTTATTGGAAACATCACTCACCACACCTCGGTAGGACGGAGGGATGAATCCACAGTAGATGGGGAGAAAGCAGCTGCAGAGGAGAGCCTGGGGGAGGAGAGGGATTGCAGAAGTAAATGTTCCTGTCACAGTTCTCCTGGAGAAAAGCTGTCAACCGGGTGCCTGCAAATTCAGGCTTGACAAATGGTCTGGAGCCAGGCTGTTGGTACCACCTGGACTTTGCTCTTGACTGTGTCAAGAAGAAAGCTTTCAAGAAGGGGAAAACATCTCATTCCCAGAAAGTTGAAACACTTCTCTTGAGAAGGGCGTAGCACTTCATTTTTTATTGTTACAGCTGCCAGCAATGTTAGAGTTGTCTATCTATATATCACTGTCCAAACACTGCCCTTTGACGGTGGCAAGGGGAAACTTTGGGGTCGTTTTTCATATTTGTGGGGTTTTGGACAAAACCAAAACATCCTCACAAAATGCATTTTCATTCTGCTGGGATTTGTCAGTGGCAAAGCCACTGCAGGGCTGTTTGCATCCATTTCTCACCGATCTCATCAGCTGGGAATGAGCATCCCGGGCTCCTGGGTTGACCTAAGGCAGGTACCATGGGGTCAACTCCGGCGTCTCCATGGACTTGCTGTCCTCTATCATCTCCCAAGCCCACCACCTCATGGTCAGCCTCGTTAAGGTTCTACTCTGGGATTCTTTCCCCAGCAGCTAATTTACTGGTTAATCAGCTGCTTGTTGCTTGGCAGCACAGATGCTTCATCCAGCTCTTCCCTCCCAGGAAAGCGCTGAGGCAACAAGGACAATTACTGCCAATGGGACTTGGTTGAGAAGAGACCTGTCCAGAAAGCTGGGAGGTCACGGTAGCAGTAACAGCTCTTTGCAAAGAGTCATTAGCACTTATTAGAGCTGGCCAACATGCCAGCATCAGCTTTTTGAGGCTGGATAATTTAGCATGATTTATTCCCTCATGGCTCTGGACCTAACAGCATCTTCCTCCTTCCCTCCAAGCCTGGTGGAGCTCACTGTGGTGGGACCAGAGCTTGGGAGCTTCCTGACACTAACCCCATCTTGGGTAGAAAACATTGACGCTTGGATCCCACCGCCCCAAGCAGGTGGAGATCTTCCTCCAGCATCAGAGGAAGGTGACTTTACCTGAATGAGCTCTTCCTTGGAGCTGAACTCGGAGGCCATGACGTTCTGGCCGTCCATCACCCGCGTGAGCGAGATGTGCAGCCGCCCCGACGCCAGCTGGTAGGAGTCCTCTGGCAGCATCCGCTGCAGAACGGTCTTGATGTTGGCCAGCAAGCTGCACTTGGGAGAGAGAGGGCCCAGGATGGTTTTCCTGACCTCCGTTGCCATGGCAAAGAAAAATTCCTTTAGGTCATCTGACACGGAGAAGAAGGGGGAAAAAAGAGAGAGAAAATCAATATTCCTGCTGCCCTAAAAGTTGTATTTTTAATCTTATTTTTAACACTCCCCATAAATAAAGCCTCTTGCAGCTCTGTGCATGACCCCAGGCTGATCCCACTGCTATAATGGGGTGCAGAAAGAGGGGCATCATCCCCAAGATGTCCTCAAAGGACAATGTATTGCTGAGTGTGGTGAAATCCCCAGCAGCACTGGAGATGGGTGCTCAGGACGTGCCTGGCTGGGGATTAGGGAGAGGCTCCAAGAAGCCCCAGGAAGGGGGACTCAGGTGCAAATAGCGAGTTATCGATGCCAATGTGACTTGCAGGACATGTTCCTGTCTTCCTTCCACCTCTGATTTTGCACATGGGCAGCCCCAGGCTTCCTGGGGGAACTTGGATGGCTCAAAGGTGATGAGAAGGGACAGACGTCCACCTCCTCCACTTAGGGCTTTCCTGCAAGCCAGGAACCCCAGCTGCACCGTGCTGGGACTCCCCACTCATCCGAGCTTCCTCGGTGACCTCCCAGCCGGTGTTAATAGTCATTACATGGGTCTGCATGTCCCAGAATCACAGAATCACAGAATCTTCTAGGTTGGAAGGGACCTTAAAGATCATCTTGTCCAACCGTCAACCTGACTGACAAAAATAGACACCCACACAACAAACAAGAAGCATCATCACTAAACCAGACCTCCCAGCACTACATCAACCCGTCTTTTGAACACCTCCAGGGATGGTGCTGGATTAAAGGAGTAGAAATGCAGAGCCCTGGCTGAGGGTTCAGGAAACACTGGGTTTTAAGGGCTGCTCAGTGATGGGGGCAAGAGGGAAGCAGCAAACCCTGCGGTCAACCTGACACCGGGGAGAGAGCTTGATCCTTTTGCTGAAATGGGGACCTCACTTGGGGGCATATCAGATGCTGGGAGGGCTGGAGCCCCTCTGCTGGGAATGGGGCTGAGAGAGTTGGGGGGTTCAGCCTGGAGAAGAGAAGGCTCCAGGGAGACCTTGGAGCCCCTTCCAGTCCCTCAAGGGGCTCCAGGAAAGCTGGGGAGGGACTTTGGATCAGGGAGGGGAGCCCTAGGAGGAGGGGGAAGGGTTTGACCCTGAAAGAGGGGAGATGGAGATGAGATGTGGGGAAGAACTTGTTTGGTGTGAGGGTGGTGAGAGCCTGGCCCAGGTTGCCCCGAGAAGCTGTGGCTGCCCCATCCCTGGAGGGGTTCAAGGGCAGGTTGGAGGGGGCTTGGAGCAACCTGGGCTGGTGGGAGGTGTCCCTGCCCAGGGCAGGGGGTGGCACTGGGGGAGTTTTAAGGTCCTTCCAACCCAAACCATTCTATGGTTCTATGTTTTAGGTGTTCAAAAGACGGGTTGATGTAGTGCTGGGAGGTCTGGTTTAGTGATGATGCTCCTTGTTTGTTGTGTGGGTGTCTATTTTTGTCAGTTAGGTTGACGGTTGGACAAGATGATCTTTAAGGTCCCTTCCAACCTAGAAGATTCTGTGATTCTGTGATTCTGTGATTTCATGATGCTGTGAATACCCCACCTTGAGCAGTTAAACTCTTGAAGCATGAAGTTTATCTGTCTCCTCCGTGCTGCAAAGAGCCATCCTTGTGCCCAAGGGGGTTTCCCTGGGACCTTGCACTGGCACAAAGCCGTGGGTTCTCCTTAGCAGGGTGGCTTTGTAGGGACAGGGGTTCCTGAGCCGTCTCGTGAGGTGGCTTTAAAAGCCCCGACAGACAGAGGGATTAGATGGAGTGTCCCGAAGGCAACTGGAGCACCACAGGCATTAAGAGGGGTTATAAATGTTTGAGCGGATGTTCAGGCCATGTGGTGTGATGATTATCACTCCCCGGGTTCACGTGGGGTCCCCAGGGTACCCCAGGTGGGTCATGCACCCGCCGGGCACCGTCTGGCTGCCCCGTGTCCTGGAAATGGGGGAAAACCTGGAAAAACTGCCCACAGGTTGGCAGGGAGGAGGTGAGAGCCCACCCCAGCTTTGGGGGCTTGAGCTCTGGAGGAGGCCTTGTCTCTGGGTGAGCGAGGGATGACCCTGGTGTGGAACACCATGACTGTCCCCATCTGCACCCACTTGCTGGGGACAAGCACGTGTCTAGCAGGTCACCTGTGGGGTGGCAGGGGACAGCCTGGCTCAGGGAGCTCAGAGCCAGGGCACACGACCACAGCCACCCCACGGGACACCCAGCAGCAGCCAAGGAGACACCCTTCACCCTCCTTTTGCCCCAGTTCTCCCCAGTTTGAATTTGACAGAGTTTCTGCCACATTCATTTTCCATATTCGAAACCCAACCGGAGCCACCACTACCCAAAAGGTCTCTTCTCTGGGGAAGATGGTTTGGACACAAGACCATCTCAGCACCTTCAAGTGCGTGGTGCCCCCCACCCCCGGTGACGCAGACCCCTATTTCAGCACTGGTGCCCAGTTACCAAACTGATTTATACCTCCTGGGCAGCCCCAGCTCCATCCAATCACACCAACGTGAGGAGTCAGAGAGGAGAGTTTTGGGGCCCTCACTGATTCATAGAGGAGTTTGTTCCCACATGGGCAGAAAGGTCCCATTCTGCTTCATCTAAATATGTATTTGCCAAAGTTTTGAGTTATTTTTAGCTCCAGCAGAGTGGTTCTAGCATCAACTAGAGGTTTTAGGAACGGCGTGTTTTCTCCCTGCCTCCTCCATCATTATTTGTGTCCTAAAACCCTAACTCCTCCAAAATGTCCCCGTTGCTTGAAGCTGGGCTTGGATCAGCCTTTGAGGGCTTAAATCTTGTGTACCCTTGTTTACACGTGGACGCTAATTGGAAATATGGGAGGATGTGATTATTAAAAGTGGATTAACTGCTCTGAATTAATTCTACACATAGGTGAGCTTTGCTGGGGGCTGGGGAGGGGGGCTGCTTCCACGTTGTCTAAAAAAGTTCAGAGGGAAACCTCTTTTGTGAGAGAAACCCCAGCCCAGGGCACATCCAACAGATGAGCCCTCGGGCTTTTGCCGAGGGAGAAGGTGCTCCTCAATCTGGAGATGGGAATCGTGCCACGTCTTCCCTTGTGCTGGGAAGGGTGAGTGGGACAACCCCGAGCAACCTGTATAGGAACCCATGTGGCACTGCCACTCGTGTCCCTTCGCAGCTAAGGGTGCCAGGGGGCCTGATCCCTAGGGGACAAGGGGGCTTTACGTGGGCATCTGCCCACCATGGCCACATAGACCCGCCTGGGGACACATCTCAGCACTTGTTAGACCTGGTAGCAGGAGAGAAGGACATTTGCTCCTGCTGCAGGAGCAGGAAAACGGGCCAATAAATTACAGGTACATCCAGATTTACCCAGGCGGTATCTACCCAACCATCTGAGATAACATTCAGACAGTGAAAACCGGCTTTTTCAGCTTACACCCACCCAAAATTGCTCCACGGCGGCTGCCGAAAGTGGCAACATCTGCAGGTTTCTTGGGAGTTCCATGAGTTTCACCACTATGGCATCCCCACCGGGGCTTCCAGGTGTTCCCTTCTCTTATTTCTATTTTGAAATAACACCCCCCAGCCCCATCCCCACCGTCAGGACCTGAAGGCAATAAGTGTCTTACCCAGGCCGATGCCGCAGACCACGGCGGCGGCGATGAGGGAGCCGGCGGAGGAGCCGTAGACCTTGCAGGCAGATTTGAGGAGTTCAGGAGCCAGCTCCAGGAGGGACTGCACCACCCCGACCTGGTAGAGGGCCAGAAAACCACTGCCCGAAAAGGAGAGGGAGAACGGGGTGCTGGAACCCCGGAGATCCTCCTCGGCCATCTCAAATCAATGTTATCCCGCTCGACGTCTGGGGTTGGTCCTTCTTCACCAGGTGAACCTCAAGCTTTCTCCTCTGCTTTCTCCAGGCTCATCTCCAGCTCCGGAGGAGGCCAGAAGATGGATTTTCCTCCTCCTTTTATGACAGCTCCCCGAGGCGTTTCGATTCACGAGCTATTTTAATTGCAGCCTGTGCTAAAAACAGAATTTTTCCCCTGATCAAAACCAGCTCTTGTAATCCTCCACCACGGCCAGCTCGGATGCTCAGGGCTGAATCCAGGCTCCTCTTTTATACCCAAGGATCTGACCTACCCCAGGAGCCCTCCTGGAGATGGTCCTGAGGATGGTGGTGCCGTCACGCTCGGAAACGTCCACACGAAATTTCCTCTTTGCTTCGTGCTTTCTTCATCCGAGGGTGTTTTCCTAAATTGGATTCTCCATCAATCCCAGCTTAAGGCACAGCTCGGTGCTGGGTGAGTAAAGGCTTGTATAAGACACTTAAAGCCAGAGGGTGTTACACAAGGGGTGGTTCAGGGCGTTACGCGGGGTGAGGTTTGGAAATATTGCTTAGATTCGCTCCCAGTTGGAAGGGGTTTGGCTTTCCCTGGCTCTTGGGTATCCTTGGAGGGGATAAAACAAAGAGCTGGATTTGCTTTTCTCCTCCCACCCCCAGCACCGTGCTCTATAAGGCCCCAGCAGGATGCCCGCAGCAGCACCACCACGGTCCCCAAAATCTGGGGTTATTGAACCAAAATGGGGCTGTCTTCGTTGGCTGGGTGATAGTTAAAAAAAAAAATGTAGATTTCTGGAGTCTTTTCCACCTTAATAACCCAATGCTGCTGCCAACATGCAGAATAAAAATTGCCATTTTAAACAGATGTATTTATTAAATATTAGCAAATACCGTGTTGCTTATGTTGTCCAAACCCCTACAGTGTGCACTCTCTATAATAAATATTACATATATTAATTCAGGGTTGTATATACACACATAACACAGGTGTGTGCACAGTAACAGGCAGGAGGAAAGAGCATCCATTCCCCATGTTGGTGCCCCAGCCTGGCCAGGAGAGGACAAGAAAACGGGATGGTCCCATCATCCTGATACAACCTTTGACGGTGCTGTTTCACCCCAAATTTTCATGCGTTTTCTGCCTCTCCAGCCATCCCGAGGTCCCCCCGATGAGAGGGGCAAAGCCCCCCACCTCAATGGGCAGGGTGTCCCTGGGTTGAGGTTTCACTGGTGGCTTCCCATCTGCCTGCAGACCCCCCCAGATGGACGTCACTGGGCATGGCCAGGTCTGTCCTCAGCAGCTCTGCCTGGACAACAGCACAAGCAGGAGCAAGTTCTCAGTGTGTAGACGTCCTTCAACGGGGTCTCTACTACCCCGGGGGTGAGGGCACCTCCATGTGCCCACCCCCTACTGTGGAGACACGGTCTTACTGGGTTTGGTCTTCTGGTTTCTTGTCTTTCCAGTGTTTGATGTTGTTTTGACACCATCCCCTGGCTGGGTGAGTCTCCCACACGTCCCAGCCTTTCTACCAGCCTTGGGGTGGTATCTCAGCTTGGATCTGCATGATTCATGCCACCGTCTCCTCCAGGCCTTGGCAAAACAAATTCTTTCATTTAAAGGACTTTCTTCCAGCGCTGGCAAACATCTGCAGGTAGAACAAGGGCACAAACCCATCATCTCCTGCTGGGACTGAGCCCAACACGCAAACCCATCGGAAGTGTGTGAGTGTTTCCGTGTTCTCTCTGAATTAACTCCGACAATTACAGGCCCCAGACCCCCAGGGAATTCAGCAGGCTCTGCACGGAAGAGGCGTGGGATGCTCCTGCTTCACTCAACACTTGGAGCTCCTCGGCAGAGCCCAGCCCCGGCTGCCAAGCTTCAGGAAAGCGGGAAATGATCCCAGGGGATCTGCAGGAACATGCTCCTCCATCCATTCTCCAGAGAACGAGGATGTTCTCCTTGTAGGAGCTGGACTCGCTACAAAATGTGGTGCTCCAGGAGCATCTCGTGAGTGCAAACCCCAACCGAGCTGAGCCCAGGAGATGTTCACACCTCAGGTGCTCCTTTGGGCTTCTCCTAACAGTTTCTTCCCTTGCAGCTTCCATGAAATAACATGTTAAATGGGATTTTCCATTCCCAGAGCCAGATGATGAAGGATGGTGTGGTCCTTCCTCCACGAAGAAGCCGTTATCCCTGCAAGAAGAGAAGGGAGTAGCTCCATGGGGAGGTGGCACGATGAATGGGAGAAGGACCCTAGGAAGGAGGAAGCCCATCAGATGGCACAGCCCCAAGCCAAGGAAGGGCCAGCCCCTGGACAAGGACAGGGACCAAGGCAGGACGGACAAGAGGACAAGTGTCCATACACAGGGAAGGACAGGAGATGTTTGACCTGGCAAGAGGGGAGGGGGGCAGCACCCCAAAGGTTGGCAGCTCAGAACCTCAAGGTCTTCACAGCCCCCTCAGATACCCCGGGCTGCCCTGGGGATCCTCAAAGCCCAGGAGGAGCCGGGCTTTGGGGACAGACCTGGGGGCTCTGCCAGCCGAGGGGGTGCACACCCACACGCCCCATCCTGTGATGAATTAGGGGGGGGGCTTCTCAAGGCCTGGCGGGGGGGAGTTGAGGAGGATGCAAAATCTGCCCACACCCCGTCCCTCTCCAAACACGGTGGCCCCAGGAGAGCATCCCAGGGGAGAGCACCCTCCCTGGCCCACTGCCGCGCTCCCGTGAGATGAAACCTCATCATCATCCTCTTAGTGACAACAAATTTTGCATTAATTGGCTCATTTAAGTGCTGGGCTGATTTTCTAAGCCTCTCCCTCCCCCCCCCAACCTGGCGGCCACCAAAGCAGGATTAGCGGGGTCTAACGACTTTGGAGACCAAGATCCCAGAAGCAGCTGGAGATACTTTCCAGAGGAGACCCCCGTGGCTCGCAGGGAGCCCTGGGCGGGCAGGGGGCTGTGTGGGGTGTGGGGCTGCTTTGTGCCCAGCCAGGATCAGTGCCCAGATGGCCCGTGTCCGTGATCCCAGGGATTTTCGGGCGGAGGCAATCGCCTGAGCTGGTTGAAGCCACGACAGGGCGTTCAGGGAAGGATGAAGGTAATACCCAGAGCTGGAAACCGATCAAAACCCCTGGGGCTAATAACTTGCTCTTCTTTAATACCTTCTTAATAATCTTCACAGTGGCCGCGGGCAATCGGGGTCTCAAATTTATAACCAAAAGATTAATTCAAGGGGCTGGAGTCGCTCGGGAGAAGGGACCTGGGCTCCCAGAGCCATCAGCCCCGGGGTGCTGCGCTGGTGCCTGGTCCCATCCTCATCCCACCGCGCTGGGTTGGAGCATCATCCCTGCTGTGGGTTGGGTTTTTTGGGAGCAGGAGCCCCCTGTGCAAGGGGCTGCACAGGTTTTGCTCCTTGTTTCCCCAGCACCAGCCCCGATGGGTGGGAAAAGGTGCAGCAACCACAGAAAGAGGATATTTGATGGAGCCGTGGTATCAGGAAAAGCTCAGGAGGAAGAGGATGGGAGAGACGAGTTGTTTTTCTCTCTGTTGGGCCTGGCAGAGCGCATCCCACGTGCCCAGGGACAACCATGTCCTCTGGGAAGCCGGAGAGGAGACAAAACCCTCTTCTGCTCCATGCAAATCCCAGCCCACAGCCGGCGTCGCGGGAGCTCAGATGCAAAACAAGCAGGGCCATCACGTCATCCTCCCACCGTGTCCCTCACTGTGTCCCCGACACCAGCTCACCCTGTCCCCAGCCCCAGCAGAGTCCCTCGTGCTCCGGGAAGGGACAGGGACATCGTGAGGGCTGTAAAAAGGCAAGAGCAGTTTCGGTTTCTCCTGCAATAAAACTCTCCTGGCTTGGTTCCTGGCCAAAAAGGAAACACGGTGCTGGTGCTGGTGTTGGTGCTTGGGGCTGACGTCACCAGGCAGGAGCCAGGAGTGGGATGTGATGTTTTTCACAGTCCTAATTACCCTGAGCTAAATTAGACAGAGACCCTGCAAGCTGTCCCCCCCTTCTCCTTGGGGCTTTTCAGCAGCCGGTGATTGAACCCTCTGTGGATCTATCAAACGTTTCCTTAAAGGGCTTCACGACCAGGGGGATGTTGGTCTGTGCAGGGAAGGGCTGCTGCCCTCCTCCAAGGGGTCTGCTTCCCCATTTTGTTTTACTCGGGGTTTTAAGAGGATGGAAAAGACCAGATCCTCCAGGAAAAGGGCTGCTGGGCAGACACGGGCTGTCACAGGTGGCCCACGGGGGACTGTCACCCCACACACAGCACTGATCCAGACCCCACGGGTTTGTGTGCCATCAGACCATCCATCATCATTTGATCCACCATCACCTTCATCCCGTTGGATCATCCCACCTCTTGCACGCTGCAAGCCCCAAAACTTTGTCCCCTTCACCCCCAGGCTGGGTCCGACCCTGGCGAGGGGGATGCTCCTTCTGGTGCCACCACGCTGAGCGCCGCCAAACCCCCCCCCCAGCCCCAAGCTCCCTTAATCCATGGTCCTACTTAGGGGTCTGGGCAAAGATTAGCTGGGAACATTCCCAGAGATTAGGGTTTAATCGCTTTGACATTTCACATCTTCTTATGCCTCGTAGGTGAGACCCCAGCAGCCGTAAATCCCCCCGGGCCTGGAGGCAGGGCAGCTCCTGCGACACTTGGGAGAAGCTTTACCCAGTTCTTGGTGTCAGATCAAGCTGCTTTGGCTCATAAATCTCCTGCTGCTGGAAAGGGAATGGCTATAAATAGTAAAAAAGGAGCAGGACCACGCTGTGTGTCTGCTCTAAGGCTCCCTTTGTGTCGCTTCACGTCTGGCTGGGAAGGAGCAGCTCCCAACAGCAAAGCAAACGTTATTCCAGGTATAACACCCGTTACACATCATCCATTGGACAAGGCTGAACGTCATTTACAAACCAATTTATTCGAGTTTTAGGGTTTTTTCCCCTCAACTAGACATTGGGATGACAGCAGAAGCTACAAAACCTATATTTTACATTCACAGATACGTATAGAAAAGCAGGTAAATAAATACACAAGCACAAACCACGAGGTTCAACACACGCCCGTGGTGAGAGCTAAAATGCAAATACAGGGTGAAATTCGGGCTTTGTTTGATTTTTCACACTTCCTTGCCCCCAGCCAGCTGGTTTTTAAGCAGTTCGTGTTGCTGTGGCTGTCACTGTGGGTTTCCTCAGAAGGTGGTAAATCCACAGCTCAAAAAACCACCCTCCATCCATCCAGGTCACCATCAGGGACTGTCCACCCCACCAGTAAATCTCCATCCTTGGCTTCCCTTGGGAGCAGCCGACGTCAGTCTGGGCTCTGGCAGTTGTCTGTGCTGAACTTCTCTCTGTCCTGCTGAGACAGAAGGAAACATCTGTGAGGTCTCTTCCCAAACAGACCTGGTGCTATTGGTCTTCTAGGTGGCTCAAGGAGGACATTCTCCCCAGGGAAAGCTGCAGGGCATCCCCCAGCTGCATCTCCGCAGGCAAAGCAAGTCCTGCTCCTTGTGTGTGCATGGACCATGTTGGAGAAAGACAGAAGCAGCCTAAACAGGGCAAGACCCAGCACCCCATCACTCCCCCCCAGTATGAACCAGCATCACCGCTACCCACCCAGGTCTATCCATCACCCTGAAATTACACCATTTGCCTTAACTTGCTGCTGGAAGCTCAGCCCCAGACCTGGTTCTCCTCCCTACCTGGAGAATTTTGCTGTAGGACAAGGGTGCAAAGGAGTCTTCCAGGTAGCGGGTGCCGAAGCCCATGATCCTGTTGACGGCCTGGTTGCAGATACCGGCCACCTTGGCCGTGAGGTGGACGGCGAAGGCGAACTGGATCTCCTGGGGGTTGACGTCGGGTCTGCTGGCCGTCATCTCCCTGCGGACGTAGGCATCAGCCAGGTTCTTGAAGGAGCTGTAGGACATGTCTCTGAAGAACTTCCGTAGCCGCACGTCCTCCCTCACCTGGTGAAGAAGCAGGTGAACACAGAGGTTACGAGCGAATACCTCGGTGTGTCACACTTGTGTTGACACCTTCACTCCACGCGAGGATTGCAGGGAGGACAGACAGACAGACAGACAGACAGTCAGCCACCGGCACACCCAGTCGGGGAATTAAAAGGTGCCATTTCCTTGATTTTACTGAGCGTTTCCCTGCCCCGGAGAATCGATGGTGTCGCTCTATTTTACAGCAGTACAGAGTTTGGCCCAAATTTCCTTCATCCCACCCCAACTCTCCGCTTACCTGCCTGTCCAGCTCATCTCCCGCACTCTGGAGCAGGGCAACAATTCTCTTGATGGCTTCATCTGCAGAGAGAGACCCCACGTTACCTCCAGCCCATTCTTTGAGCCCCAGATGCTCTGAGGGGACACCACTGCCTGTTTAACTCCCCCTGAAAAAATCCCCTGAGCAGCCTGCATCCACCTCCATCCCTCCACACCCCATTTCAGGCTGTTGCCAAGCGCCTTGGTACCCTCAGCCAGCAAGAAAACCCCTCCTGCCTTGGAGTTTCTCTCCCCCCAGATCAAGCCCTGATGCTGAAAATGTCCCTCAATGTCTTCATAAGCCCCTGGGTGAGGATTGGAGCAGGGTTTGGGTCTGGGGACAGGTCTTGTGCACGGGTTTTCTACACGTGCCAGTGATGAAGCACGTGCCAGGGCAACACTCACCGATGGCGTCGGCACTGCCCGGCTGTGGTGGCTCCCCACGTCCACGTCCTCTGCTGCCTTGGCTCTCACTGCCCTGCACGATCAGCCCGATCTCTTCTGAGACTCGTGTGTAGTAACCGTCAGGCTGGTCTGCTTCTGCGGAGAGAAAAGCAGGAATTCAGAAATGAGGGTTATTTTCTCCTTGGCCATTGGTTGAAAGGGCGAAGCAGCCGCAGAGGTGACTGCATCCATGTGATGCTTGTGCCCAGCCCAGATCAGTGCATCCCACTCTCTGAGCCACAACTGTGTGGCTACACCTTGCCCTGAATCTGCCAAAGCTTTGCAGAACCCCTCTCAATGGCTTTTCAGCAGGAGAAGGGCTGGGATGGGGACAGGAGCGTCCCACAGACTCTGCCACCGTGCCACCACGGCTGGCTGCCTGCACCCTTCCCTACACCAACCTGAAATCAGCTGAATGATGGCCCTAAAGTGGCTTAAGATTTAATCTCAGGCCTTGAATGCAGTTTAAACTAAACCACCACGTCCCTTGCTTGCTAGAGAGGGGAAAACCTTTGCCTGGCTGGTGCTTGGGGTAATTTGCTGGGCTCATGAGTCAGAGCAACGACGTGTGCTCAAAGCATGGGCAGATGGACCCTTTCATGGGGCAGCAGGTTGAGATCAGAGTCTCCAAAACCCATCCCAACCCCCAGAAATCACCAGGAGGGTGATGCTTAGGGCTAGAAACCGGCACTGAACCCTCCTGCTTTCCCAAAGGAAGGCCAGCGGAGGTCCCGTTGGCCATAGGGTTGGTTTAGGGTCAGGTTAGGGGTGGTGGGGGTCCCACCTGGGGTGGCTGGTGCCTGGATGTGCCTCAGGGGAAGGCAGCTGGGTCTCTTGGCCCTTGCCCCAGCTGCGGTTTCTCCCTTCTCCTCCTCCGAGTGCTTCTTGAAGGAGAAAACCTTCTTGAGGCTGGGTCTCTTCTTCAGGGCTCTGCCCAGCGGTGGGGATGTGCCCAGTTCCACTCCGGGTCTTTTAGCCCCTTCTGGTTTGGAGCTGTGAGGAGCTTTGGCATCTTTCTCCTTTGCTTTTTGCCCTGTGTTTTCCTTCTGATCCTCAGGGCTCTTCTTGAAGAGCAAATTTAAGAGACTTTTGAACCAGGTGCGTTGGGTTTTGCCCTGGGAAGAGTTTTTTGTGCTTTTCCTCTTGGGCTCCGGCTCCTCTTTAGGGACCTCCCCGGGAGCTTTGCTCTCATCATCCAGAGCCTCATCCAGCTCCGATGCTTTGGGTCCCTCCTCTTGGTCCTTCCTGGGGCTGAGTTTGGCACAGGAATACTTGCAGAAGTCGCTTTTCGATCTTTGCAGCCCATCTCCCTTCTTCCCTCTCCTTCTGGATCCCTCCTGGAATTTCTTCGCAGCGGACTTCTCGCAGCAGCTCAGCGAGCGCTGGACGTAGATCTCCAGCACTTTCTTGGCCCCTTGCCTGTCCAGGGAGAGGATCTTCCCCGAGGGCTGACTCCCCACATCCCACTGAGGTTTCTCCACAGCCAGATCCTGCATGTTGCTGTGGAAAAAACCAACATTTTCAGCCCGGTTTTCGCTTTCCCCGGGATGCTGCACTGTCAGGTTGGGCACCATGGAAATCTCCCCCATTTTGGACCAACGCTGGAGCCCAAGGGTGCTTTGGGTGTCCAAGACTGTTTGTGCTCCCAGTAAATGATCAAGCCCTTTTTATGGGTGTTATCTGAGTGCCCATTACGCAGGCTGCACACACGGGGGTTTATGAAGGGCAATAAACACCGCTGATAAAGGGAGCGAAACCGCGGGGAAGGGGGAGACGAGCTGGGCAGGTCTGAGGGGCAGAGCCTGGTTATCATCCAGAGGGTCAGATCCCACAAAGGTGTCATCCAGACACCCTGGTGCTGCATCTTCCTGTTGCCATGTATTCCCATGCTACGGTGAAAAACTACACGCCAGGAGCACCATCCCCCCGGTGCATCGCACAACACGGATATTTTTTTATCTCCCCTTGAAGTGTCAGCTGCTAAAAGAACCAAAATGATATTCTCCAACAGGGCTGGGGGCTTCCAGCCCTTGGAGAAGCCAAGGGCAAGGTGGGCTCTTGCAAATATCCTCAATCACTGCCAATATTGGCCAAGAACCTGCATGAGCTGTGACCGGTGTAGGGCTGTGACCACAGCGTGGAACACACAGTCCCTGCCTTTCCCAGCACCCTTTTCCTCTGTGTTTTGGAAAAAAATTAAACAGGAGATGCTGCTGTTGAAAAACCAGGGAGCCGTGCCCGTGCCTCGTGCTGGCTCTGCTTCCAAAACCAATTTCACCCTTCATAAAACCAGACCCAAACCCTGAGCAGCACAGGAGAAACCAACACCGAAACCCGGCACGCTCGGCTGTGCAAACCGCCCCGGAGCCGGTTGATGAGCATCATCACAACGCACAAGGACACCCACCCACCCCAACATGGTCTTTTTTTTTAGGATCAAGAAGGCAAGTTTCCTTCATCCAAGCCAACCCCGAAGCCACCCGACCACCTGATAATAAATCACTCTGTTGATAAATCACAGCAAAGCGACAGCCCCCGTCCTGCTTCGATTGATTCCGGTGCGTTGGCCGCATCCTCCTTTATTTGCTCGTTTGGGTATTTACCTTTCCATCAGTATTTCTGCTCTTCTGGACATATGTCAAGACAAGGTCCTCGGCCACAGGCGCGAAGGGTTGTCAGACTCTCCTGTGAGGTGCCTTTTGTATCCCCAAGGGTGGGGACTGGCTGAGTTAAGTCCTATTTTTATCAGCCATTCAGGTAAGAGAGCGGCCAACGCTTCCGCCTGGGATCCCCGCTATCACCTTCCTCGTGGCGGAAAACCTGCGGGCGTGAGTTTCACTGGAGGAGAAAGCAATTTCCTTATGACAAACACCAGCAAAACAGCATAAAAATCACCTGTCACCTGGTGTAAACACCGGCCTTTGAAACCAGCTATCTAAGCCAGCTCTTCGGCATGTGGTTCTGGTTTGTTGTTGTTCCCAGTTCCACTCCGGGTCTTTTAGCCCCTTCTGGTTTGGAGCTGTGAGGAGCTTTGGCATCTTTCTCCTTTGCTTTTTGCCCTGTGTTTTCCTTCTGATCCTCAGGGCTCTTCTTGAAGAGCAAATTTAAGAGACTTTTGAACCAGGTGCGTTGGGTTTTGCCCTGGGAAGAGTTTTTTGTGCTTTTCCTCTTGGGCTCCGGCTCCTCTTTAGGGACCTCCCCGGGAGCTTTGCTCTCATCATCCAGAGCCTCATCCAGGTCCGATGCTTTGGGTCCCTCCTCTTGGTCCTTCCTGGGGCTGAGTTTGGCACAGGAATACTTGCAGAAGTCGCTTTTCGATCTTTGCAGCCCTTCTCCCTTCCTCCCTTTCCTTCTGGATCCCTCCTGGAATTTCTTCACAGCAGACTTCTCGCAGCAGCTCAGCGAGCGCTGGACGTAGATCTCCAGCACTTTCTTGGCCCCTTGCCTGTCCAGGGAGAGGATCTTCCCCGAGGGCTGACTCCCCACATCCCACTGAGGTTTCTCCACAGCCAGATCCTGCATGTTGCTGTGGAAAAAACCAACATTTTCAGCCCGGTTTTCGCTTTCCCCGGGATGCTGCACTGTCAGGTTGGGCACCATGGAAATCTCCCCCATTTTGGACCAAGGCTGGAGCCCAAGGGTGCTTTGGGTGTCCAAGACTGTTTGTGCTCCCAGTAAATGATCAAGCCCTTTTTATGGGTGTTATCTGAGTGCCCGTTACGCAGGCTGCACACACGGGGGTTTATGAAGGGCAATAAACACCGCTGATAAAGGGACCGAAACCGCGGGGAAGGGGGAGACGAGCTGGGCAGGTCTGAGGGGCAGAGCCTGGTTATCATCCAGAGGGTCAGATCCCACAAAGGTGTCATCCAGACACCCTGGTGCTGCATCTTCCTGTTGCCATGTATTCCCATGCTACGGTGAAAAACTACACGCCAGGAGCACCATCCCCCCCGGTGCATCACACAACACGGATTTTTTTTTATCTCCCCTTGAAGTGTCAGCTGCTAAAAGAACCAAAATGATATTCTCCAACAGGGCTGGGGGCTTCCAGCCCTTGGAGAAGCCAAGGGCAAGGTGGGCTCTTGCAAATATCCTCAATCACTGCCAATATTGGCCAAGAACCTGCATGAGCTGTGACCGGTGTAGGGCTGTGACCACAGCGTGGAACACACAGTCCCTGCCTTTCCCACCACCCTTTTCCTCTGTTTTTTTTGAACAAAATTAAACAGGAGATGCTGCTGTTGAAAAACCAGGGAGCCGTGCCCGTGCCTCGTGCTGGCTCTGCTTCCAAAACCAATTTCACCCTTCATAAAACCAGACCCAAACCCTGAGCAGCACAGGAGAAGCCAACACCGAAACCCGGCACGCTCGGCTGCGCAAACCGCCCCGGAGCCGGTTGATGAGCATCATCACAACGCACAAAGGACACCCACCCACCCCAACATGGTCTTTTTTTTTAGGATCAAGAAGGCAAGTTTCCTTCATCCAAGCCAACCCCGAAGCCACCCGACCACCTGATAATAAATCACTCTGTTGATAAATCACAGCAAAGCGACAGCCCCCGTCCTGCTTCGATTGATTCCGGTGCGTTGGCCGCATCCTCCTTTATTTGCTCGTTTGGGTATTTACCTTTCCATCAGTATTTCTGCTCTTCTGGACATATGTCAAGACAAGGTCCTCGGCCACAGGCGCGAAGGGTTGTCAGACTCTCCTGTGAGGTGCCTTTTGTATCCCCAAGGGTGGGGACTGGCTGAGTTAAGTCCTATTTTTATCAGCCATTCAGGTAAGAGAGCGGCCAACGCTTCCGCCTGGGATCCCCGCTATCACCTTCCTCGTGGCGGAAAACCTGCGGGCGTGAGTTTCACTGGAGGAGAAAGCAATTTCCTTATGACAAACACCAGCAAAACAGCATAAAAATCACCTGTCACCTGGTGTAAACACCGGCCTTTGAAACCAGCTATCTAAGCCAGCTCTTCGGCATGTGGTTCTGGTTTGTTGTTGTTGTGCAGTTGTGGGTTTTTTTTAATAAGTGTGATGCCATATATGGGATTTTCTGGGTTGTTTTTGTAAGGAGAAGTCATAACTTTGTCAGATAAATGAGTTTTAATGCAGCAAGCAGATCACCCCGCTCATATCTCAGGAGCTTCCAGGGATGTGGGTGTTGGGGGCTGTTGTGGGACCGCAGATGCTCTGGGCACGGTGCTACCAGGTTGTTCCTTAACCCCGAGCGTGGTTGGGCTGCAGCACCTTGGAAACCCACCCTGGGGTCCTTCAGAGAGCCCACACACCCAAATATGTGAAATATGACACAGCACCAGCTTCATCCCCCAAATCCTTTCACAGAATCACAGAATCTTCTAGGTTGGAAGGGACCTTAAAGATCATCTTGTCCAACCGTCAACCTCACTGACAAAAATAGACACCCACACAACAAACAAGGAGCATCATCACTAAACCAGACCTCCCAGCACTTCATCAACCCGGCTTTTGAACACCTCCAGGGATGGGGCCTCAACCACCTCCCTGGGCAGCCCAGTCCAATGGCTGAGAACCCTTTCAGTGAAAAAATGTTTCCTAATATCCAGCCTGAACCTCCCCTGGTGCAACTTGAGGCCATTTCCTCTTGTCCTGTCGCCTGTGACTTGAGAAAAGAGACCAACCCCCACCTCTCTACACCCTCCTTTCAGGGAGTTGTCCCACCCAGCCTTGCCCGGGGGCTGAGCATCTCCCAGGGCTGAGCCCACCCAACACCCATCTGCGCATCCCAAAATCTGCAACCAGCCCCTGGGTGACACAAACCCTCAGCCTTTTCTCTTACACCGGGGACACGCTTGGCCCCACAGCCACCCCCTTGCTCCCCTGCTCCTGGCTGCTCTCCTCCATCCTCATCACTATTTTGCCATCTGATGGCAACATCTCGCACTGCATCTTGCAGGGACGGTGTCGGGTGCTGGAAAACCCCTTGGCAAGATTTCCACCTGAGCAGCGCCGCATTTCTTCCACTTTGCAGCTGGGATGAGGTGCTGCCCAGGTCCCTCCCTCATAAAAACGCTCTTTTCCTGATAACGGGGTCAGTTTGCAATAAAAACAGCCCGGGGATTGTTTTCTTTCTGTTTCTACAAACTTTCAGTACTATGATTTCCTACAATTAGGAGAGATCCAGTCTGTTTTCTTCTGTTTCTCCGGAGCCTCCACCGATGAATCAGCGCCTGGTATTGATTAGGAATTACCCAGCTTTGTTTTTCAGCCTCTCCATCTCCTTCTGATAAATAATTAAACCATCCATCAGGAGCTCCCTGCTGCTAACTAGCGTATGACCAGGTCCTTTTGTAAGCAGGTCGATTCCAGTGGGTGAGGAGTTTCGCGCTCGGTTTTGGTTGGTTGGTTGGGTTTTTTTTTTCCTCTGCAACATCCATATAACAAAAAACCCACATCCAATCTGGCCGCAGGGCACCGTTTGGCCATCTCTGGTTTGGGGATCTTGCTCCTGGAGATCATCCAAGGCTGAGTCCAAACATCATCCCTGCTCATAGAGTCAAAGAATTGTCTAGGTTGGAAGGGACCTTTAAGATCATCTAGTCCAACCATCCCTGTTCATGGAAGACTTCTCGTGATTACACTGGGAATCAGCATGGACTTACAGCCTCTTGCTGGCTTTTCTCCTGTGTAGGAGCATTTCTGGACACAGCCTGAAGCTGGGATACCCAGATTGACCCAAACCTTCACCCCAAGTTGTGATTCTGGATCCAAACCTTTATCCAAGTTTGGGTCCCTTCTGGGATTTGGGACACTCTTTAACCTAATGGAAAAGAAGCATATGGAAAAGATGTTTGCAAGAGACCCAAGACAAACCAAAAGCCCATTTCCAGAGGTGGGGGAAGAGATCTAGATCCCAATTTGTCTGCTTTTCTTATCAACACCAACAGAGAACGAGGAAGCTGGCTGGAAACACAGTCACGTGGAGGGAGCACACAACGCTGAGGTTGGTATCTTCAGGTCAGTGACGTTGGAAGAAAAGGCAGAATTAAAATCATGACGACACAGCAGCAGGAACTGGCCTGGTTATGGGAACTTGCTCCAGAAGGTGGAAAAAAAATGAAGGAGAGGTTTTCCTCCCCTGGAGTTGTGAGGTGCAGAGGGTTACAGTGGGCTCAGGAGAAGGCAGGAGTCAACACACCTGAATTTCTTGGGAACAAGACAGACAGGCCACAGCTTGGGAGGCTGAGGTTGGACATCAGGAAAAGCCTCCTCTGCAGGAGGGTGGGACAACCTCAAACGGATGTCCAGATGGTGGGGGATCATCATCCTAGGAGGTCTTCACAAAGTGGCCAGCCAAAGCCACAGCTAATCCACCTGGGTGCTGGAGGCAGTTGTGTTTTAAGTGAACCACAAAGGTCCCTTTGACCCAACACCAGCCACTCAGGGAGAAAACATCTGCCGTTTCAGATCTGAACCAGGATGGGTGGGTTGAGGGCAGCCACCGCTCCCCACACTTTGGACAGATGGTTCAGCCAACATATGGGACCCGTGTGGCCTCAATGGAAACCTCTCAGCCCATTGTGTGGTGCCTTTGATCCAAGAAGGTTGTAGACACCAGCCCCCAAAGAAAACCCTTCTTTTCCTCCATCCCCAGGGCTGATTTTAGCTGCTTCCCTTGGCAGATGAGCAGTGGGCATGCCCAGGTGTTTGCTGCCGTGCACCACCCTGCCCCAAAAACCACCAGACCTGGGGCTGCCGAAGCGTGGATGATGCCCTCCAGGGAAAGAAGCACCTTCGGGAAGGCCCACGTGGGGCACCTGCCATCGTGCCACCGCCCCTGGACTTCAACCACGGCAAAAGTCACCGGCTGCTCTGCTCTCCCTCCCCACACACCCACGCCAAACAGCCCGGCAGAGCGGCGGTTCCTCAGCTGTTTACCGAAAGGGATGGGTCCCCGTTCCCGGATAGAAGCAGGTTTCCAGCCCTCCTGCCTCAGTTTACCGCAGGGAAAAGAACCACATGGCCCCGGGGAGGACAGGAGGGCGTCCTGGGAGCATGGAAAGAGTTTGTCATCCCAGCTCATCCGTGCAAAGGTCCTCTTTGATTTTTACCCTCCAGGATCCCTCCCGGAGCCGCCGCGGCACAAGGAGGGTTGGGTGCTTCTGGCAGCTTCACAACCAGGAGAGGAAATCCCCGGCCAAGTCCAACGGGATCCTTAGTCATCGCTGGAAAACGGGGTGAAGAAAGGGCATCTCGGGTGCTCCCTGCGAGCAGGGCACAAGCTCCAGGGTCACCAACTGTCACCACTCCAACAAAACAATCAGTGCAGGCTGGAGAAGTGGTGGGATGCTCAGGAGCCATCAGGGCTGTTTCCACGGCAAGAAAGCCCCCAAGAAAGGGGGATGTCTCGTTAGGAGAAGGTCAGGAAAAATGCACCCATGGGTGTGTGTCCCAAGAGTGACACACTGGCAGGGCCAGGATGGGAGAGTTGCCAAGGAAGAAGGTCTGTTTTCCCACCAAAGCTGTCCCTCAGGGTTGGGCAGGACTTACTCTGACTCTGCTGGATTTCACCCCCAAAACCACCTGGCTTTAGTCTTCTCTGGGGCAAATAGAACCTTTGGTGGAAGGATGGATGAGGTCTGGGTGCTTCAATGCACCTTTGGTACAGCACATCCCCAGACTGTGGCTTGGTTGGGTGCTGGGTAACCTCCAGCCCCTCTCCCAGCAGAGATTTTGGCCTCCTTTCTTATCTAGGGCCTCCCAAAGGCTGTGACATTTGCTCATTTACCCCACTAGAGCTTCTCATTTCCTTCTCCTCCATCGCTTGACTTGGCAGACACTTGCCTTTTGCTAAAGAACTGGTGATTCTTTCTGGAAGTGAAACTTCTCAGCCACCATTTCCGGCAACGTTGTACTGTTGATGTTTTGCCAACCAGCCACCACGTGTCCCACCACCATCTCTTGCTGGGTACTGCCCACCAGTACTTTCAGGCTCCAGTTGATGGGCACGAAGTAGTTTTAGAGGAGCAACATTAGGTACAGCGAAAGGGACTGTGCTTTCAGGTTGGCAACAACCAGTTGTGGTGGAAACCTCAGTCACCAGCCCTTGCCAAAGTTCTCCACAAAGCTGATATTTCCCAGACCCAGAATTGCTGCCTCAAAAGCCGATGTAGCTCTGAGATGGCAGCTTAGGAAAGGGTCCAGAGCAACGATACCAGGCAGCAGGAGAAGTTCTGCAGTGGTGCAAAACCAAGGTTGGAAGGAACTCACCTTGTCCTATCAGCCATGAAACAAGATGTTGCTTCACGACCTGTATCTGTGCTTGTCCACGTAACCACAAAACACTGTGTTCACCCACCTGTGAGCAGCTCCAGCTGTTGCCCTCTGGTTTGGGGGCTGCTGAGCTTGGGGACAAGATTTGGGTGCCCACAGGAGCTGGTTCTAAATGAGGAAGGCTCAGATTCCTCAGTTTCAGACCTTCAGCCAGAAAGAAGTGGGATTTCAACTGTACACGGTCACGGGATTTTATTTCCTCAATGAAAAGCAATCTGAAAATATTAGTGGATATTTTTGGATTTAAAAACACACACACACACACTCTCTCTCTGTTCCTTCCAGGTCACTAACAGGGCCTGGGGCTGCAGGAACTCCTGCTTCCAACTCAAAGCAAAGAACCACGTGTCTGACGACGAGCGAGCTCATACTCATTACTGGCTTCGTTTCTTTTCACATTATTGAGTCAGCTAATTACAAACAGCATTAGATGGAGGGAAAAGGAGTTGAAACGAGACCCAGCTTAGGGGTTCTGTGCAGCCTGGAGCTCCAGCCAGGCCAGATCCGGGTGGATATTTCAACAACCCCAAAGGAGATGGTGAGATGACACCATATGGCACATCTGCAGGGTAAATCCATCCTCAGATTGAGGAAATGGCTCAGATTCAGAGCAGCGTGTCCACGCTTCGGGCCACCGCTCGCTGCGGAAGCCCTTTGGGAGATGTTTGACCAGGAGCACGGGCTCCAGTGCTCTCTGCTCCTCACGTCCTGCTGCGAGAACAGAGCAGCCTTCACCAGCAAATTGGAACCTTAAAGACAAGCATCCAAATTTACAGAGCAAAAATACCCAGCTCCCTCCCCAAGGACAGAAGAGAAGTGAGCAGAAGGCCAGCCCTCATGTTCACCTGCACTTTCGAGGCTGGGGGGGACGTTTTCTGGCTGTGTTTTGCTAATGAAGCCCCGGAGATGTCCCAGCTTTGGCTCAGGGCAGGTTTTGAAATGCAGGACCAGCTCTTCTGTCCAAGAGATGCAGGAGATGCCAGCACTTCCCAGCAGAGCACAAATCTGTCTGCGATGCCCTGCAAAGGCAGCTTTCCAAGATTTCCTATGGTGAAACCTCAAGTGGATCTTCTGGGTCTTCTTTCAAATCCTCATGGTCCTCATTCTCCAGCTGCTCCAGCTTGCTGGACTTCTCATGGATGATCTCCCCAGGAGTCTTCAAAAACCTGCAATTATTTTTAAGTGCTTTAAAGGGCATGTCCAAGCCCAGCCCCAAACCAGTCTGTCCACGCTGGAGCCCTTGCCCTCAGCAGCTGAGCTCTGGAGCTTCCCAGGGGGTGTCTGTGATCCCTGGGCTCCCTGGGTGACAAAGCTCAGCACTCATCAGCCCAGAGTTGGGGCTTTAAGTCCAAACTAGTCCCAGGGAAGCAGCCAGCACTGAAAACAGGAGGTTCCCAACTTCTTTCCACCTCTTCTTCTGTCTGGAGGTGGACTTCAGACCCGGTGTCACTGGGGAAGAGGAGGGAAGTCTCCAGCACAAGTGGGTTTGGGGACATTGCAGGACCCCAGGCAGGAGAGTGGCCGGATGGTGGCCCTGGGGCAGGCTGCTGGCCCACAGCCCTGGTGGGACCCAGAGCCCAGGTGTCCCAGCTCCTGACTGTCACAGGAGAAAGCCTGGACATTAACCCAGCGGAGCGTTACATTTGTAGGGAAGGATAAGAAGAACCAAGCCAAAAAGCAACCACTTTTGGGGTTTTGCAAAACTGAAACCAGCCCAGGCTTTTCTACCTCAACGTGAAGCTGGTTCCGGCTCCGAGACACGCACAGACGCTGTGGGGACACCTCAGTCACTGGGCCAGGCTGGGACCCTTGCAGCACCACAAACCCAGAAGACAGACCACATCCCCATACATAACCCCAACACACAGCGAAGATGCTGCAGCCTCAGCTCAGTCTGGACCATGGAGGATCCAGCAAGACGAAGCAGCTGCCAACATCTGGAGGCCACCACCTTCCTGTGCCCCATCCCCACTGAAACAGACCATTTCTCTGATCTGCTCCATCTCACCTGAAGAGCAGCTTCTGCCCCGGCTCCTTTTTGATGATGTTGAGTTTGTAGTAGTGTCTGAGCGCTCGCGACATCTTCTCGTATGTCATGTTCATCCGGTTCTGGAAGAAGAAAAGAATTGGGAGGGGACTGAGTAAAAGCAAACGCCAACACCTGGTTTGGGGCTGTCTGCAGGAGGACCATGTGTGGGACGTTCGAGGTGGGTCTTGGGCATTGCAGGCTGTGGTGTGGGTCTCTAACCCAGACACACTTCTGGGTCCATCACTTTTGGCCTTCCAGAAGATGAGAAATCCTCCCTCTTTAACCACCAGGAGGTTGGTACCTCTCAGCAGCGCTGTGCCCACTCCATCACCCTTCCCAGTCCCTGTGCCACCAGCTCTGGAGAACACGTCATGAAGGCGACACGCAGAAGCCCAGGAATGACGAATTTCTTCTCAACTGCATTTACCTTGTGGTTCCCCCAGAGCTGGGCAAGTCCATTTGGGTTAACGACCCGGAAGACCTTGGCTTCCTTGTCTTCCCACTTGATGTAAGGCTCGTAGCGGCTGTCGGAGAGGAGCTGGTACACGTAATCCCACAGCAACCTGCAGTCTGGGCATCGGTGGAGAACACATGGTCACAGAGCTCCCACTAAGGCCCCTACGCTCCAGTGAGGGTCCATCAGCAACAGAACTGGGCACATCAGCAGTGATAATAAAGGCAAGAAGAGCCCAGAGCTCACACACAGCACTTTTATTGCTAGATCTCAGAACACGAGCAGGAACTACCATTTTTCAAGTGGGGAAACTGAGGCAGAGAAGCCCCCACTGATGCACGGAGTAAACAGGAGACAGATGGGCAGGCAGGACAAAGCACCATCTCATTTCCCCAAGGAACCAGGCTATAAATTCTGATTTACCTGCAATTTTCCCATCCACTGGGGCTGACGGGGTTGCAGGAAGAGAACTGATGGCCTCTGCCCTGCAGCCGGCCTCCGAGATGTGGTGGGAGAGGTTCAGTGGCCCTGTGTGGCTGTAGGACACAGGCTGTTCCACACCACCCAGGCAGGAGGAAACAACAACCGGGGCAGCCTCAGCTCTACACTCTGTCCCTGGGGAAACAAAAACCACCCTGAGGTGTGTTACGGCAGGTCCCAGGAGGTCTAAAGCCCTGAAACACGTGGGGAGGGACAGCCCAGGTTGGTTGTCAGCCCAATACCAGCCCAGCCAGAGGAGGCAGGCGCTGAAGAAAGCTCAGGATTTTTTTAAGGTAAGAGAAGTAGAAGATGCGGGGAGTTTAGAGGAGACACCAAGTAGGATGAGAGTCAGACACAGAAGAAAAATTGGAATAGGAGTAATAGTCCAGAGCCCAAGCACTCCCTTGTAAATTGGAGTAGAAGCTTAAGATGTTCATCACCCTACACCTGAGCCAGCAGAAGGGCTCAGGAAAGCACTCCCAGAATCACCACGCTGCAAAACCAGCCACCAACACCAACCCATCCCCACTCCAACTCCTACCTAGGGTCCTCCCTTTCACCCACCTGAGCCAGCAGAAGGGCTCAGGAAAGCACTCCCAGAATCACCACGCTGCAAAACCAGCCACCAACACCAACCCATCCCCACTCCAACTCCTACCTAGGGTCCTCCCTTTCACCCCAAGAACACTAAGAAGCCTCACTGGCTCTGAGCAGCCTCACCTGGGACCTCTCCCCACCCCACCCATTGGCTCAGAAGCTCTATTTAAACCCAGCCCTGGCCCCTTAGTTCTTTCTCATCCATGCTGCAGGAAAACTTCCCTCCAGCTATGGTCATGGCTATTGACCACAACCCCCATCCAGATCTCAACTTGCAGAAAGACTTCCTAGAGTAGCCATAGTCTTGATTGGTCACCATGGGCCACCTGGAGATCCCTAGACTTGATTCTGACGGGCCCACCTGGAGATCCCTAGACTTGATTCTGACTAGACCTGCTTCATCACCACAAGCTTCCTTGATGACATGGACTTTGTTGGACCTGGCTGCCATCTCCAGGACTGTCCTGCCTACCTTGCTGAGGTACCGTGGGATGGGTTTAGCTGGCTGAGCTTCAAGCCCTAGATGTGTGTGACCCAGCGTAGCTGAGGGCTACCATTCTCCACCATACCTTCCTCTGTGCTCCTGGCCTCCCCGAAGGGGGAGCTCAGCAGAGGGCTGCACACCAGAGCTCTTCTTTGAGTCTTAATGTACTGAAGGACTTCGTACAGGACATCCCCTGCAGGGAAGGAAAGTCTGCTCAGATGATTTTGTGTTATAGCAGAGATTCTCTGTTGACGTTGCTGCTCATCTTTCTGTGCTACAGAGTAAGAGGTCATTCCCCATCTCAAAGCATTTACAGTCCAGGTGGACTGAAGGAAGAGGCTTGCCCTTGTCTCCAGCACCCAGTTGGCCAGGGAAGGCTGAAGCGTGGTCTGCTGGGACCCATCCAGCCCCTCTCAGCAGAGCACAGCTTGTGCTGTGCTTGGATGGTCCTCGAACACCCTTGCACTCGGTCTAACCTGAGCTGGGAGCTCGGTATCTGAAGTCATCCTTGGTGAGGATGCACAGGGCTTTGCCGTTCATTTCAAACTTGCTTTCATCCGTTTGCCGAAGGGAATACTCTCTCTCAGCCCATCTGAGCCAGTGGATCACGTCGTCCTTGCTCCACAGTGAGGGCTGGATTCCTGAAACCAGGAGCAGCCTCTGAAACAACTGTCTCCATCTTCATCTTCAAAACTGCTGAGGGGCAGGGGGGACACTGGTCCTCTCCATCACCAAACTTTCTCTCTATGTTAAGTACTCACAAGCCAAAACCCCAAAGAGAGAAAATGAACCCTGATGAGTGGTCCATCTTGTGCCCCTTGATGGCAGGGAATGGTCCCTGGGTGGGACACCACGGCTGTACCCACCATGTCCCACCCTGTGGGAGCTCCTTTTATTATTTTTTTTAAGCAGTGTTGACTTGCTCAACATCTACTCACTCAGCCTGCCGGGAAGCTTGAAGATCTCCCTCTCGCTGATGGGTGTGTGTCTGGCCTGGGACGGGGCCGGTAACGAAGCTGTGACAATGGGGCTGGAAGAGCTGATTGTCACTTTTCCCTGGGGAAAAGAGGTCAAACACATCAGGGTGGGGAAAATTCCCAACTCCAGACCTGCCTTTGCTTTGGAGATGCCTCCACAGATAGTTTCTAACTGGTTTCTCAGACGTGCTGTCCACACTGGCTCTAGATCCTCTGCCAGCCCCAGGATGAATCTGGTTGCCCAAGACAGTATCACAAGCCAGATTCCCCCTCTCTTTCTCCAGTTCTTCTCTTTAGTGGAGGCTCCAGATGTGGGTTATCCATCCCCACCGCCCCACGGCCGCAGGGAAGCAGAAGATGGAGCCATGGCTGGCAGAGCCTGCAGTGTCCCCATTGCTGGCTCTTGCTTCCTCCAGATCCTCAGCTGCTCGTTGGATGTCCAGAGTTTTAGGACAGTTCTTTAGAGTTGTGAAAATACAGCTGCCTAGATTTTGTCTTTAAAAACTTGGTAGGAAGAGATGTCTCTAACTTTTCCCTTACAGATCATTGGGACATCAATAGAAATGGCCATCCCCAAGTTTAGGGAGATGTCCACTCATCTCACTCTCCTGCCATGAAGTTCCAGCCCCTCAAGAATTACTCCTCCCTCTTGGTTGCTCGTTAAGGATCCCCTCCAGCCCCATCAAATGGGTGAGATGGTCAGTGCTGGGAGGAGAGGCAGCCCCAGAAACTCATGTGGGCTTGGGAGGGGTCACCATCACCCCAACTCTGGCCCAGGGCTCTCATCCAGAGCACGTGTGGCAGGAGGGAGCCCAGATCCTGCCGTCAGCCCCATCTCGATCTTGAAATATTACAGGCAGCCAAGCAGATAATGTTTCCCCTTAAAAACCTATTACCGTAAACCCCAGCAATTTCTCAACTTCATTCTCTGGAAAATTAACAATTTTGCCTACAAATAGTGTTTTCTGAAGCAGTTGCCAACTCTGGGCACTTCAATACACCCTCAGGCAGGTTTTCAGAGGTGGTTTGAGCAGCCAGAGCTTCTCAACTGTGTGTGGGGGGTCCAGGAGCCGAGCCCCCCCCCAAAAAATCAGGGGTGACAAAAAAATCCCCAGAGCAGATGGTGGTTGGGCACATCTTATTCCTGGTGTCCCCAAAACTGGGAGCAGGGGGCAAAAACGCTCCATCCCTCCCCAGAAAAATGCTTCCCTGGGATTTGGGGAAGTTCCAGGGGGAGAAGGTGGTGGTTTGGTGATGGGTGAGGGGTTTTCTTCAGCAGAAGGATGAGTGTTAATTTGCGGGTGGGGTAACGATCGCTGGGTGTCTCAGGGGTGTTGGTTTTAGCAGAGCAAGAAGCTGCAGGATATTGTGTGAGGGAAACCAGAGAAACTCCAGTATAAACTCTGGCCAGGCCTGAGAGCAACACAAACCCTTTTGGATTTGTTCTAAGAAACCAGCTACTGGAAAAATAAAAGTGAAAGAAATTATGGGGTGGCTTTTGTCTAGAACTCCTCTAAAAGGCGCTTTAGTTCTCTCCCATCGGGGTGACTCTTTCATGATGAGATTTACACCAAAAACAGGCCAAATGTTTGCTATTTTTCTTGCTCCTGAAGATTCCTACGGCGCAGGCGCATTCTTAATTTTTATTACTTTGTACCAATTTTATATTCTTGCTGTTTTTCCCCCCGTTTAAGCTGCTTTCACTCGTTTCCGAGGCGCCGTTCCCTTCCTTCAAGGGGAAATATTGTCCTTGAAGGGGTTTGAGTGGGAAAGTGAGAAAAAAGGGGTGAAAAGGGACCCTCAGAGGTGCGAGAGCAGCTTTTGGCTCATCCCAAACCGGGGGGGAAGGACGGACAGAGCCCCCCGGCTGCTCCGGGCCGTGATGCGGACGGAGGGGTCACCCCCTCCCGGGGCATCAACTTCCAGCCGTTAATTGAGAAAGGGAGGGAGAACCGGGAAAGGGGGGAAACGGGACCGGGCTGGGGGGGTTCTTACCTGCATCCCCGGTGACGGCGGGTCCCCGCAGCGGTGCTCGGCGCTGCCCCCCGGCCCGCAGGGCTCCGCGCTGCCCCGGTGCGGGCGGGTCCCGGTGCTGCGGCCGCTGCGGCGAGGATCCTTCCGGGAAACGAAATCGAAACGAGCCAGAGCCCCGGGAGGTAGGAGAACCGGGGGGGCGGCGGGGGGGAGGGCAGCGCCAGGGGACGTGTCGTTCCCTTCCCCCTCCCGGGACCGTGGCCCCCGCGTCCCCTCCCGCACCACCGCCGCCTCCGCCCGGGGGATTCGGGACGGCAGCCGGTCCCGGTGTCCCCGGGCGTCCCGGTGTCCCTAGGGGTGCTGTTCTCGGACGCGCTGCCGGAAGACGGAGGGGTCCCGGGACACGCCGGGAGCGGGGTGAGCAGCTGTAATAGATGTTTTTATCCCGTTTCTCCACCGGGAACGACGGGGACCGGATAGCGGCGCTGCGAGCGGGACCGGGGGAGCGCAGGGGGGGACGGTCCCAGAGACAAAGGGGAGGTCTCAGAGACACAGGGGGGG